TGCCTGTGGTTCTGTATGGGTGTGAAACTTGGTCCCTGACATTAAGGGAGGAACATAGACTGAGGGTGTTTGAGAAGACGGTGTTGAGGAAAATATTTGGACCAAAGAGAGATGAAGTCACAGGAGGTTGGAGAAAACTGCATTATGAGGAGCTTCATAACTTGTACTCTTCTCCAAGTATAATTAGAATGATCAAGTCAAGGAGGATGAGGTGGGCAGGTCATGTAGCACGAATGGGGGAGACAAGGAATGTATATAGGATATTGGTGGGAAAGCCAGAAGGAAAGAGACCACAGGGAAGACCAAGGTGTAGGTGGGTGGACAATATTAGAATGGATCTTGGAGAAATAGGATGGGATGATGTGGATTGGATAGATCTGGCCCAGGATAGGGACCAGTGGAGGGCTCTTGTGAACACGCTGTTGAACCTTCGGGTTCCATAAAATGCTGGGAAATTCTTGAATAGCGGCTTCTCAAGAAGGGCTCAGCTCCATGAGTGAATAAGTAACACCAATAATTTGACCATTTGTTTTCTATAGATGTGAAACCCAGTGTCTTGCTTTAAGGGAAGAACATAAATTTTAAAGTGTTTTAAAAAAAGTTCTCAGGAAAACATAAGAACTAAGAAAACTGAAGTCATGGGGAGTGGAGTGTATCATATGAGAAAGTCAATGATTTGTGCAGGTAATATTCATATTCGTCTAGTATTGTTACTTAGGTAAATCACTGAAGTTATGACAGGCTTGTAAGCATGAGGAGAGACAAGAAATCCACTCAGAAGCCTGTTGAGAGACCTCATGAAAGGTATAACACATTAAAAGATATGGGACGATAATATTAAAATAGATCTTGGGAAGATGATTTGATGTGAACTGAATGATTATGTTGCCAGGGAGTTTGCGTGATAACTAGTTACAGTATATAGAGGAATGCATATTCATGTCTTTCATTTGACTGTCTTGACCTATATTAAATTCTTATCAACTCCCAGCAGTTGTAAGTTATGACTTGCATTGTTTTATAGATATAAATATCATGATGACTATCCAACTGGAAGTTGTCTGGCCCTCATCAATGGTGAAAACAGGTCTTTAATTGGCCACCTGGGAGCTGCCAATATGTATGAACCTTCAGATTTGTTGCAGCACATGCAAATACTGGATCAAGTAAATATAATATACATAGAGAGTTTTTTCATTAGCCATAGCTATGATGTAGCACTTATATTACTGAAATTATGCCAAGACAAAAAAATTGCTTTGGTTTTTAATATTGGTGCTATATATATGTGCACTGATTTTTCCAGTGAAGTTTCTCATCTTGCCATAAATGCCAATATCTTATTTGGAAACAAAGAAGAATTTAAGGCATTAGGCAAGGTAATGAATTTAGAATGTGAAAGTACATACAGTATTGCCCTAGCTCTGCATAGCATGAGCAATCACAGAGCACATGTTCTTAATACCTGTGAACTTGGACAATATTTAAACAAAATGGGGAAGATCATTGTCGTCACAGATGGGAAGGATCCAGTGATGTGTGTATATGGAAGTGCTTGCAATAAGCCTTCAGTTATAAAGTTTAATGTGCCATTTGTCAAGCAGGAGCTCATTAAAGATACAACAGGGGCTGGTGATTCCTTCATAGCAGGGTTCTTAGCAGGAGTGTTTGTACAGCACAACCTGGAAACATGTGTTGCATGGGGCTGCTGGACAGCACAGCAAGTAATTCAGCTTGTTGGTTGCCAGGTTCCTCCATACCCTTCAGATGGTATTGACAAAATCAAATACTGATCACTAATGTTGAAGTAAAATTGTTTATTTTGAAAAGAACATGAGTTAGTAATTGGAACACACATTTATATGGATCTGCATTCAATCAACACATAACCATACTTAAGCTGGTATGAGTTGAATGTTTTGTTTCTTAAATGCAATTGGTTATATCCTGTAGTTTGTTTTGAAAGCGGTTTGAATCACTGTCTGTTGCCCTTTTTTTCTGTCATTCTGAAACACCTGATCAGTATTTATATTAAATTTTTATTAATTGAAACTTTATTCTGTTATTATATCTCCTGTTAGTGCTCATTTCTCCAATGAAGTACTTTTGATACACAACAGAAATGGATGATATACATTACATGCCAGATCATTGCAGTCCACAGCCCAACTTTCTCAGATTTCAATGAAAATTGATAAGTATATAGACTCCATAGAAAACAGTAAGAAGGTAAGTTTATCCCAATACTTAATTATATAATTAAGCACTATGCTATGAGGGCATATGGGGGAATGGAGATAACAGTTCCACCATTCTTAACCTGAGCACTAGATGTAGGTGAGTGGTCAGTTTTACATCCATGCAGCTTTACTCTGAAGACAGAACCCCTAGTACCCACTGGATAGAAGTGTGGGTTGGGCCCAGAGCCCATCTGGGCTCTATGAAGAGGAAGATCTCTTTTTCCAGGAGTGAACCTTGGGTGTCCAGCCTGTAGTCTAGCCACTATACCAACTGATCTGTGCTTGCAAAATTTCAGCACACTACATCTTGCAGTTTTTGTTGAGCAGGGTCACAAAAATCATGAACAAATTGTTGGCAGGATGCGTCCACCAAAATTACCATAACTTTTGTTTTGTACCATCTACAGCAGTGGCCCACATTCATTCCCATTTCAGGTTATGTGGGATTTGTCATGGATAAAGTGGAACTGGGGCAGGTTTTCTACAAGTACTTTGGTTTCCTCTGCCAATTCTCATTCCACAAACTGATCCATAGCCATTAATCATCCTATCATTGATGCAATATAGTCTCATTACAGAAGCACTGTTAAACAGACTATTTACCAGCTACAGAGTTCCCATGGGGCTTGTTTATGTTTCACTGTCACCTGATGGAACATCTGACCTTCAGTTTCTCAGAAAATACAATTTTCTTCCTGCAAAAGGAATATATTTTGTTCATAATGTTGTGCTCTTTTAACAGAGAGGAAAATATGATCTTGGGAAAGCCATGGGATTGCTTCCAACATCATGACCTTGAAGATTCCCAGGACCCCTTCATTGAACCTGTTGCACATGTTTTCATTTCTAAAGCTGTGATTCGGCTCTCTGTAGAGTGTTACATGCTGTTGTTTACCCTGCATTCATCTCTCTTTCCTGATTCTTTGCAGCAGTATCAAGTGATATTGTTTACTTGTGACAGTGCATGTTTTTTTCTTAAGAAATACTTAGAATATACCTATAATGTGTTGCAAACCACTGAAGAAGCTGGACTTACTACTTACATAAAGAATTTAAGAAATGTTCATTCTTGGACTGATTGGGGGGGGGGTGGATACATCTCTAAAACAGGCGTACAAGGTGACAGGTGCAGAAAAATGGTTTCCCTATTACAGTTTGAATCCAATAACCTTTTGTTAGAGGGAGAGGATGACTCCTTGGATGAAATTGATAGTAGCAACAAAATAAACATATTTAGTAAAGAAACTCCTGTGCAGTTATTAAAACAAAGCTTTCCGAGTATATGCGAATTACTAGTCAAGCTGAAAAGAACTGGTGAAACAAAGTATACTATGACAAAGGTGGCAGAAAGTGGAAGTTCTGTAAGAAAAATGATCATCAGAATCCCATCTGATGAAGGAACAGTAGTTCCATCAGATCCTGATTTCTGTAATTCTGCAGCAATTAAAAGAAATATTGAGGCAACAACAAACAGAAGTGTCAGAGCTACCATTTGATTATTCTTCCAAAGGACTGCAGTATCAGGAAAAGAGAAGCATTTCCAGTTGGCAATGATTGTATGATACATACTACAACTAAACAGATGGTAAAGGAATATGGAATTCTGGCATCACAAAATCCAAAGCCTAGGAAAAGGCTGGACCCAGAAATAGCTTACAACTTTCACTGGATGAAGCAGAACTTTGTGCGTTAGATGTGGATTCTGTGAACACTAAGTGACTATTTTGCATATGTATGTACTCTGCAAGTGAGACCATGCTTCATCAGAAAAGAATGTCGAATGTGGATTAATTTCACCTTCAGTGACAGACTGTAGAAACCAACTGCAAAAATTAACCCTGCTAACTGTATCATGCGAATGGAAGCCATGGATTACTGTTGTTTTATAGGGTTTACGCTTCAGCAATTGTGTTGCCATTCTTCACTAGACTTTGGCGCTTCAGTCTCTTGAGCTAGACATTTCAGTAATTTTCTTGGTGTATATTCAAGTATGGCCCTTATGTCATCTAACTTCTCCTCAGTAAGCAGTCAGTGCTAATGTTTCTGTTTCTGGTCTATTAAGAGTCCCATTATTCTAAGTTTATTCACCAAATTGTGAATTGTTTGTCTGCTGGGAACTCTTTCATCACAAAATTTAAATAAAAAATTTTCACTGACACTTTCTAGCAGATCCGTATTTCACATTGGTGTTATACAGAAATACATGTTACTCCAAAGAATACTGCAAAGAATACAGCTAATGGAGCTGATAACTGCTGCCTACTGCTGACAAATCATAAACAAACTTCCATGCTTGCCGTGAAACGTAATGTCATCAAGCGGTCAACAAGTTAGTTATTTCCCTTCATTTGAAACATGTTGGCCATCAGGCATGCTGATTCATTGGCAAAAGTTGTATGTGCCTTGCACTGATGCATTGATTGCTGTGAAGCACAGAGCCATGAACTGGTCAACAAAGTTAAAAAATTGTCTGTATTAATAAATAAACATTTACATTGCTTTCTTAAAAAGCTATAATTCCTCCTGACCTGCCTTCTTGAATTTCTTATCTGTATACCTGATTCTCACAGCATTCTGTCATTTGTTTGGAGCAGCAAAATCCTATCTGCCTCACAGGCGTATCACCTCAGAAATGGACTCCTTCATTTTACCAGATGGGCAAAGGCCAGGAAGACTGCATTTCTGATAACATGCTGACATACAGAATACATAAAGGAACTGGAACAATTAGTATTTGTTACTATAACTTTTGCTACTCATACAGTTAATAAGTACTGGAATGTAACAATAACAGTAACAGTGGTGAAGATAAAATATGCAGGGTGATACCTGAGCACCTGCCACAAATTATTTAGCTGGCATGGTTAGAGGGACACATGCTATCTGTGTGAACTCATACCATGAGCGTTCAGATTGTGGCATGGTTACAGGCCAATAATCTATTTTTTCCAATATAACCTCAATAAATCTGCTGTATTAAATATTCAATCAGTTTTCACGTACGATACCCACGTGGAAGTGTGGAAAAGATTCCAGCATAAACTTTGACATGTTATAGTTCCAAACAGAAAAATAAAACTACCCATACATTCAAATAAATTTAGACAGCCAGGATCATCATTATTGGACATAAGAGAACCAAGTAAAAACACTGTTTATTGAAGAGAAAGTAGATGTCAGTGCTAGGCCTGAACATTCCGCTCAAGAATTAGTACAGACCTGGGTTTGAAGTTCCAGGTTTCCAAAAAGGGTGTTCACCACCTGAATGTGAGCATTTTATGGAGATGGAGGAATGTGTGCATAACAGTAGGGATCATTCTGGCATGTGCTGTGATCTGGTAGGTGTTGTTTTTGATTTGCTGGCCAATGGATTTGTTGACTTCACTGTGGATCTAACATATAGGGGAAGAGTTGGTGAAAGGAACTTGGGTCCCTTCACTGGATCAGCCAGACAATTTGTAGTAGGCTTTCAAGAGATACGGAAGGAATGTGGAATACTAGCTATATCATTAAATTATACCCAAGGGGATAATAGTGAAACCTACAGCAAAACAATCAAAAGGCTACAAATGCATGCTTGTTTAAAACATAAATCTTGACATCTGATATAGTATCTAAGTATGTCTGGATTATTCAACGCTGTAATGCAAATTCAAATTTCTGCCTTTTGAGTGATTTGCTCCAAAATCAGAAAAACACAATCAGTGTCAAATGTGAAGAATGGAAGATAATTTTGATCACAGCAATAATATTAAAACACCTGCATGACTGACAGTACCAGCTGTCACATAAACTGGGCACAGAAAAGTCTGTAGTGAGTGGTTGAAAACTATGGACTTTTGCAGAGACAGAAACATCACTGCCGATTATCTAATACATTCAAATCCATCTGAATATTCATTTGACTACACATGCAGTCCAGCCATTTTACCAGTGGTTTCTGAAGTAATATTTTTGGAACATACTTTAAAATATCAATGTCTCAATTAGTTACTGTTCTAATATATTGTTTAAACTGTCCCTTATCAAGTGTGAGCCATCTACCAACTATGACACACTGCAAGAAATGCTGAACCATCATGTGTGAATATTTAACAGAGGAAATATTATATCAAAGGAATGTTATAGTCTTCTGGGATCCTATCCCCTCTTCTGCCATTGAGTTGGTGGAAGCAGGTTCCTCTGAAATGTTGGTTAAGAAACTACGTGTCATCACATCCCAGAAGACCACAATATTCATATTCACTGCTCTCAGAACTTCAAATCTCACATATATCAGAAGATTATGAATGTTATGGTCACTGTCTAAGTACACATTACTTAAAATAAACAATAAATGTATAATATGCAGTGACAAGCTGGAAACTATACACCAAGTCAAAAGAGCGGTATATGTCTGACATCAGCATTACATATGGACAATCATAACAACGTTGCTAAGTTGGTTAGCCAAGTTTTATCAAAGGAATATAAACCACACTTTTATGTACAAATCAGAGCCTGTATTAGGGAATATATACATTAACCATAATCGAACTAACACACAGAAAAAAGATAAATATCTGACAATCAATAAAACATCACCCTTCATCATAAGATAACACACTGCTCACTGCTACTGAAATGCCTCCCAGAAATAATTAAAAAAAAACAAGCTTCAGAAAACATATTTATCGATACTGGTAGAAGGTTAACAAGATGCAGCATAAATATCATCTAATGACTGTACCATTCCATCCACCATGCAGATAGTACAAGTATGCAAGTTTTCAGGTTATCACAGCAGTAATTCTTCAGCCTGTAGTCTTCTATGTTTAACCTAAAAGACTGCACAGTATCACAACCAAGCAAACACAATTTGAGCATTGAAGAAGCTTTGTAACATCATGAAAGTCTATATTAATTCATGTACATTCATAGTAATGAAGAAAATAATGTGTTACTTACTTCAGTACTGGTACTGGTACATACAGTTTGGTATAGTTCACTATAGACAAGTACCACATATTGTATGCTGAATTGAAATAAATGATGATAAAACATAGTAATAATATTAACTGAAGTAACTACCAAGAGCAATTTTCTAATCATAAGTATCAATAAATTATGTGACTACATTTCCTCTAATGTTCTACATTTACACGTCAGTTTAATAAGTAAGTGGTGTTCACTATAGTAGTGGCCATAACAGTTTTTAAATAACTGAAGAAAGGAAGAGCTTATGTATTCAGATCACAATTTGAACGTTACTGTCAAAAGTATGCATTCTAAAAGTTCAAAATTCATACTCTATACTTTTGTATTTTTACGAGTACTTTGTGGTTCAGAATATCTCTAAAATGTGAGCTTTATATCTCAGAAGACCATATTATTTAAAACACATTTAATTTATTACACTGCAATGGAGAAAACTTTGATATGATAAAGTAGGCATATGCTGTACAGTTAAAATGGAGACAAGAGGCTACAAATAAAAAACAGCACTTCATATAGACCACAGTGTTGTATTAGTAACTCATCACAGACAGAAATGTTTACAACTAGATTATATACCTTTTGTGGACACAGATACAACATGACAGCTCATGAGATGGTAGAAAAGGACAGGGGGCTAAAACACCTCACCCAGGTGGATGGATAAGGATGATGATGATGATGATGTATACTGCTACATGTTTCATAGTACCTTGCTTTGAAGTACTCCCTCCTTTGTAAACTATTGAATATTTCTAGAACACAGCTTTAACAACTTACATATGCCTCTAAAGGTTTTAGGTGGAATGTGGACATGTTTCTATCTCTGGTAATCAAGTATGTTTCTGTTTTATCTTTCCATTCTCTTTCGGATAAATGTGGATCACTTGCATGGGAATGCAGGTGCAGCTGTCTGAATGCAAGTATTTCAACACAAATTCTAACATTATTATGAAATGTAACTAAAACTAAGTGGTTGTACTTACTATCTCTATACTATACATAGAATACTCTGTCAATTAATTTCTCTATACTACAAGATTGTGACCATAATATTTTCAACAATTTGATGGCACTTCTCACTTAAAACATTGTTTCAGCTACAGTGGAACTTCAATTCAAGATTTTCCTCATTTAATGTTCAATTCCAATGATCCCATATCAATAACCTCAGTTACTTTTCCACCACTTAAGATTTACTCAGTTTAGTATTGAAATCTACACTCCTCAAGGGAACCTGAAATGGGGGTTTCACTATATTTAGATTCTTTGGTATACAGTTAAACATAATGTTTTGATCATATAAGTTTCATATCGATGTAAACCAACATAAAAGCAAAGAACACTGCTGTTGTAACACAACTGCCTTCAGAGATGTATTTAAGATTGAATTGCTAACACATAATTGAAACATTCCTTCCTTAATGTCAGCAAACTTTCATTCAAGGATATCATTGCCAACAACTTTCAGTTTCTCTTGTACAGATTTTGTTTGCAGTAAATATGAACAGTGCCAGTATATCTGTGTAGAAGTTCTGACAAGCATATATGTATTTAGATGTTTATTATTACAAGGGTTTATAAATTTGTGTGTATGTATAAACAACATTATTCTTACAAATGTAAATAGAGAGCTCATATATTTAGAATGGTATAATACAAATTAATAAACCAGAAAGAACTGAATGACAGCTGTTCGAAAGAAGAGTATCTTATGCTTGTTTTCTCTTATTTGACATAAGAGAAACTGTTAATGAGCTACAAATCATATTCAACCTCTGGCTTCTGAAGAAATGTTTCTTGAATAACTCATACTGCTATCATGAATACTAACAAAATTTCCAACATGAAAGGTCCAATATAGGGATGAAAATTACATCTTGTGCTTTCTGCTTATGCTGACCCATATATGCTCTTAATGCCTCATATTTATCCCACTGGCATTGTGTCTTGACTTCACTCAAAATAGCTGCAGTCTTGACACTGAAAGCATCATTAAATAATCTATGAAAAGAAAACTTCACAATACATGGCTCAAAATTATCAAGAACTTTTAACTGGGTATATATCTACTGTCTAATGAACAAACTATTTCAGCAATTGTCTGATGTTGCAAAACCATGAAAAGAGCTAAAATCACCCAAACGGGTGGACTAACAGCAGCCATAAAAGTAGACCAAAAGTAATTTTATGTACAAACTCATAGTTTTCAAAGACAGTTGATTATCTTATATGTGTAGCATATTACTTTACCATGTTTTATGAGTTTCATAATTGAGTATCTGTCTACCATTACTAGCCTTTAAAATACTCCAGTTTTTACTTCTTATCAGTCCGTCTCTTGTCAGAATCACCATCACTTGCAGGTGGCTCCTCTCTCACTACAGTTATCATCCTAAGCATTAACACAGCTAACACTTTATCCAATGGATCCATGAAACCTCGTTGCATCCATTTGGGAATTGTTGTTCTGGCATGTGAGAACCCAAGTTTTTGAAGAATGTAGTCTATGCCATATGGCTCTATACTCTTACCAGCCCAGGAAAGAAGCCTGTAAATCACCACAGCACACAAGGAAAAATTACAAGACAGAATATCATGAGTACACTAATTCCTGTAGGAATGTGGGTTTATATTTCCAAAAATGTAGCACTGTGCAAACCTATGTTTGGAAAACTTAATCACTACAACAGAAGATGGGATCAAGAGCACTTATTTCCAAATCTGTGTTCCAGAAGTCCTGAAATTACATTTAGCATCATCAGGTTAGCAGATAAATTTCAGTAAAATAAAAATGAATAAAATGTATTCTGTCTCAAATTGTATCTTTTAAACTGAAGGTCCAGTCCAGGAATGTGTGAATTCTGAACACCTTCTGAGTGTGGATGATAGGTCATTGAATATTTGCCTCAGCATAGATAACATCAGCAGGGCTTCAGTAGTGTAACCCTGGCATGCCTCACTGGTACTAAAGACATGATTTCACATTCAGAAATTGTCACTTTTTTACACCATGCTAAAACATACAGAATGCTTAAATAACAGAGAAGGCATGAACTGACCTGAATGTGTATTTGCATGTCTTATTCATATTTTGTGCTTAACTCTTAACACTTTGCGGACCGGTGATTTAAATATTTAAATCACCCTGGGGACCGGCATTATTAAACCTACTACCCTAACATGTGCACTGTTCATTTTAAAAATTAATATAAAACCTCCTAATTAATTTTATGAACTAAAATCTTCGGAGGACACTTACCAATGCTCCTAGAAGTGCTTGAGAATGTGATATTTCTGGAAACATTCCCCTTTGTGAAGTGGCATTACACAGAGCTTGCAATATACACATATTCCTTCTTTTTGTGAACTGTGCAAACATGGCATTGCCTAGAAGGATGTTTCCCCTTGGAATGTTCACTCTTCACAATTTTCACGAGGGTATGTTTCTGCATATCACCTTAGAGTCGCCCTGGAGGGTCCACATGAGGCCTGTGTGGGGTGGGAGTTGATGGGCCCTGTTGCACTAAGTCTGTGACTGACTCTGGTTTTGCCGCCACCATCTGGTCTGTAGCCCAGGCGTTTGCCACATTCATCAGAAATGCTTTGTATTTCAATTTTGAATCAGGGTTTAGATTTTTGTGATTTTTTTAGATTTTTTACTGTCCCCACAATGTTATTATCCCCATTATCGTCAGAGCTACTGTCACTTTTACTGTCTGTGGCCACAATTCTTTGTTCTCCCCTGTCACTGCCGCTCTCTGAATCACCATGACTCCGCATCTCACAAGGCAGGTGTCCTTGTCCATATCCCACCACTAACTACTGGCTGATACATACAGCTCAAAGAGCAGCAAAGCATTTTCCTTTATAGTGGGTTAAGAAAACAGCGAGATCAAGTTACTGACAAGTAAGCAAACATTCCAGAGTTTTATTACGCAGTTGCGTGCAACTTGGGTGGTGCCACAGCAAGGTATAGTGTGTTACAACCTCACGTGTCCTAAAATCATGGTATCATGCGACCGGTCCGCCACGTTTAAAAGCCAAAAGCATGATATCATGCAACCGGTTCTCAATGTGTTAAGAATGTGACATTTACCTTATGTGAAATTCTTCTATTTTTTTGGGGAGGTGTGCCTCTGTAAGACAGATGTGGCCTGATTGACAGTACATGTACTTTAATTCCATACTGAAGTATTCAATCAGCTTCCCTTGATTCACTACTTACGAAACTGACTCGAGAATCAAATTATAATGAAACTTCATCTCTTTCCCATAACACATCTACGAAAAACTGGATTATGATGAAACATAATCCAGTTCCCCCCACAACACATGGACATACATGTACTCACACGTCTGTGTGTGTACTCACATACACACCAAATGCAACTCACCTGACAGTTGGTTCCAGATGCCATGTCTTGCAGTGATAATTTCTCCAGTCTTTTGTGAACATTTCAACTGGATCAAAAGCTTTTCGTTTTTTCTCTTCATCACTGGTAGCCCCGCTTATGCCTACTGCTCCAGTGTTTGCACTAGAGCCCTCTCTGCTGCGCTTCTCAGGATCAGGACTTTGAGCTCTTGCTCCAGGACCCATGGATCCAGTCTGCAAAACAATTCCTCTAATTTACATTTTCCATGAACCAATGCTGTGTTGTAATAACACTCTAAAGGTACCTGACTGACTGATTTACTGAACTGTATTTGTGTTTCATATTTCCTACTGTTTGAAGTATGGTTAATATGCACAGTATTTTAGGGTTGGCCAAACTCCTTAGTGGTGGTGGTCAGTATTGAACCCAAAACTCTTTCAGGATTAATCTCACATCTTGACCAATAGAAGACTGAGGTTAGCATAAAAGATTAGTATTCAAAGAACTGGAGGTCTGATCCTATATGTAATACTAATACACAATATTTGCAGTAAATATACAAGACAACCCAGCATGCTGTGTATATTAAATAGACATCAGATAATGAAAAAGTCCAACATAATTACAGTTCAGTGTTTTTTTATACAAGTCTTAGTTCTAAAGTAGCAATTTCAACTTTATTTATAAGTGTTTAATTATTTCTAAAATAGTTACTTCAGATATATGTATCATAAAAATAACCATGAATGTACATACAGAAAGCTTTATACTAATTAAAAATCAATGCATATTCATTAAGATTCTGTCCAAATACAGTATCTAGTTGTGAGGAATATATAACTAAGAGTAAAAAAATTAAAGTTTTCAAACAAAAAATAAACATCTTATTTAAAAGTTCGTGACGATACATTAGTACAAATATTATACTTCTGGACGATATCCATGGTCTTGTTTTCTAAAAACACTGTCCTGTTTGTTTTTCAAAACAGCGTTTCAGAGACTGGATTCTGTCTCCATCTTCAGGTAAAACCTACAAAGTTGGGCCTAATCGATAGAGCTAATCCTTATCTCCGATTGATAGTGCCTAACTGAGTAGGTCTTACCTGAAGATGGAGAAAGAATTTAGTCTCCTAAACACTGTGTTTTGAAAAATAAATAGGACGGTGTTTTTAAGAAACAGGATGATGGATAATGTCCAGAAACATCTTACTCTTCTAAAAGAAATTAGAAGCTGCACACTATTAAACCATAACCACGTAGTGAAACGTATGTGACGACAATTATACATACCACTCTTTCTTTCTCCTTGACATATGATGTAATGAGATCATGAAGGAAGAAAAATGCCTCAGCATCTACAGTTACAAAGATGTGATCCTCAAATTCAGTGATGAAACTGCACTCAACCACAGGTTTTTGACCTGCAATAATATCACAGAAAAATTAACTGTATGTCATGTTGTGTGATATTACATAACTAGAAGACATTATGAATATTAAACTAATAAACAAAATGACACAGTAATCAATGACCCATATTGTGGAGATGTGGCATTCAAAATTACAAATTTTACAATTGTAACATGTTATTTGGTACCAAACTACATAGTACCAAAAGTCAAAAGTCCAATCTTGATATTTTGTTTCAAATAACAACTGTAACAGAATATTCTAGCAGGAACAGTTCCAAACATCATCACGTTTTCATTCTCATACCATTACTAGTTAAATTCACCCCTTAAAATCTGGTTGCCAATTCCCTATTCCTGTATGAGTAAGACTGGCATACCAATAACATCTGGAGTCTTTGCAGCTTGTAGATGTTCAGTCTTGAGATGCAGCTGAAGTGATGGCAGTGCAAATATCACTTCTCTTGTGTGGTTTGGATCTTGTAGCTTGCTGCTACTGCTACTCCGAGACCTCTGCTGCTCTGAAGAGCTCTCCAGTCTCTCCCTTTCTAGACTTGGGAACCGATCCACTGCTGCAAATAAATTATATTCACAATTTAAATATCTCTTCTATACCTTTCTAAAATGACTCTCACTCACTCACCCGCTCACCCTATGGTACAGATCTTATATGGAAGACTGACAGTTATTAACTTGGCCAAGAAATTTCCTACTTTTATTTAACTGAAAGGTTCAATACTGCATTCACAAAAGTCAGACACTGATCCTACAGTGGGCCAATTCAATCTGTTACTTTCACTTCCCTAAAATAATGTTTAATACCATTCTCTCATCTACGCCTAGGTCTTCCAAGCAGTCTCCTTCATTTTGACTTCCTGATAAAAATTGTGCATGCATTTCTGAACAGAACGCTTTTCCTAATTAGAACATCAAATTCATAATCTATTTAGTTCAATCGAAATAAATTTTGGCACTTTCAAAAAATTAGGTACGTGCTATTATAAGACTTAGGTGTAAGGTCCATAGTCTGGATGGAGATAAAAATCCAATTTCTTCAGCTATAATATTTTTGTCACATGTAGGGTGTAAGTAATTACATTATTACAGTGTGTGTTCTAATACGAGAGACTAATTTATTTATTTAAATATTTGTATTTCTCTTCTTTTCATCCATTTAATGGTATGCAAAGCTTATAAATTAATAATTATAGATCACATCTGTCTTGATGTCACAGCTGCTCAGTCACTTTGCAGTGTTATGTCCAAGTGATAAGATTACTTTAACACCCTATGAATTAATCCAGTGCCATTCTCTGATGGCTGTCTGCCCCTTTAGGTAGAATCAGCAACTTGGAATCATTAACTTATTGAACAATAGGTGTAGCATTCTGGAATGTTAAGACTTATGAGTATTTTATATGTGAACTTGAGTATACAGTACTAAGTAGTACAACATCGGCTAAAATGAGAAAAAAAATTGAAGTTATTTATGATGCTACTGCTGCTGCTACTAGAAAAATAAACACAAAAATCCATAAAAATTAGCAAAATCTTACACAGTTTTGTGGAAATTTAAATGCTAGTGTAGTTCCTGATGATCAATAAATCATATTTAGGGTTCATAATGTGTATGTATTAACAGTCTTCAAGCGCATACACTCTCATTTACCATGTCTACACTACATGTTTCGGCAGTATGCTGCCATCTTCAGGTGTATCGATCCATCAACCATTTCACTGCTTGCCTTTATATGTCCATTTACAAATAATATTAAATGTGTGTACGTCCTTATATAATAATAAAGTTTATGTATTTAAAACTTGTTAAAACCTATTGTCTCATACGTCATATTTTAAATTCGTGTGTGTTATTGATCATCCACATGGGAGTTGTTCTTTTTATGTTTCTAATGTTGTGTGTATATTATGTCTTATGATGTGTTCTACTCTTGTGGCTGCGTGCGTTGTATTGTTGGATGTGTGTGTGTGTATGACGTATGAGATAATAGGTTTTAACAAGTTTCAAATACATAAACTTTATTATTATATAAGGACGTGTACAAATGTAATATTATTTATAAATGGACATATAAAGGCAAGCAGTGAAATGGTCGATGGATCGATACACCTGAAGATGGCAGCATACTGCCGAAACATGTAGTGTAGAAGTGGTAAATGAGACTGTATGCACTTGAAGACTGTTAATACATACACATTATGAATATGAATCAGTGCAACAGGATGCTAAAATACAACATATTTAGGGTTTACTGACACTATACCACACATGCATCTGAAGATAAAATTTCATGTTGCAAATTCTGGTTCTTGCTACAGAAAATTAATAACAGATGGTGAAGATTAATTTAATTTATGAATGAGTTAATGCCAATGAATGAATTAATGCTAAGACTGTGTTCAGAGCATGAGAATTTGGAGGTTGAAACATTCCTAAACTACATTTTTTTATTTCATAATAGGATTTAACCATTATCTATCCTACCATCAATTTCACTGTTAGCAAATGCGTAATGGAACCATTCTTGCAGAGTACGAAACTGTGGAGGGAATAACACATTGCGACTCAGGCGGCACACAGTAGCCATACTATGGTGCTGAGCATGCGGCTGTTCTGCCATCATGCCCAAACTGAACGTCAGTGTCTGGACCACATGAACATCGAGCTGCTCACTCACTAAGAAAGGAAACACAGATATATCAAATTGAGGTTTTCATGGCAGTGAAGATTCATACTATGGTCTCTTAGGTTATGACACTGTGTGATCTGGTAGGTAGGTACCACTTCAGAGGAACATAACCTAAAAGACCAAAATATAAACAAAAACATTATCACATTTGAAGGATGTGAGGTAATTATATGGTTTCTCATTGTCTTCATACTGATCAAGTGGGATTTCTAAAACTGCATCTTCCTTGTTTAGAAGGATCAAATCCTTGGGCAGCTACCTGATCCAGGTTATTTCAGGTTTCCCTTCATTAGCTGTGGTATCATTGTTCTCTGGCCTTTAACTGATCTAATTTACCATCCAATTAGGAAAGACAAGACAAATAATCTGATAGTAGGTGACTGATGTATTAAAAGTCTTATCTTGGTATTTGCATGGACAGAGCAGTGGAAACCATTGTAAACCTCAGAAAAGATGATCGCTCAGCCAAGATTTTAAATTTACCTTGACATCTGATTATGTTTTGCTTACATCATCCAGAAGACTGCAGGGATTGTAATACATACAAAGAGTGTAGCTGGCAGGAAGAAACTTACTCAACATAGACCCTTGTTTCCATAGCCTCTGCGTGTGTCTTCATGTATGTATATATGTATGGTCAGGATGTTGGTACTTTATTTATAGAAAATTTACATATTCTTAATTAATTATTTTTCATTTAAGCTGTAGATAATGCTGCCAGGTGCAACAATACTGATCCTTCTAAAACTGAAAGATGTTGCATTTAGACAACATCCAACACCTAAAAAATGTTAATGTAAACATCAAATAGCGAAATTCAGGAAATAAAAATCATACATATTGGTGAAACAGAAATGGGAAATACACTGTATCCTATAACTTATATAGTAATTTCATTCCCAAGAGTGGCTATGTAATTCAGAACTGTGGAACTTCAAATTTTTGTTATTCCTCTGGTTTCATTCCCTTTAATTTTCATTAAATATAAGTAATTCAATTAACTTTAATGTTTTTAATTTTAACCTCTTACAATTTTTTTTTTGTTTCTGACAAATAATTTTATTAATTATTACTCTTCATTAGAAAATTAAATAGCATAATTTGTATGAATTCATGTTAAGACAAAATTCATCAATCTGAAATGGTGAAAGCTGCAGGATAACTTTATTAATGTAGACTTCCTTCACAGCAATGCATGATCAGGCATTTCCCTTTTATGAGCAACTTATAGAACTGAGAATAAATTGAACCAGTAGCCATAAACATCTCTGTTTTAGCAAAAAGTAGGCACTTTTTCACTGAGTAAGTGTTTGTGATGAATTCTAACCAGGGTTCTCAGAATTACCAAAATCTGATCATTCTGAGAGAATTTATTGTAAGTGTACAGATGATGACAGGAAATCAGCATGTGAAATGAATCTAAAAAGGAACATGAATAGCCTGCCTACTATTTTGTAATTTTTGAGGCCAGACTCTCTTTTATATCCATACATACCAATGGTTGAAGAAACGGTTTCTCTTGCCTTATACTTTACATTCACACACCCAATTCACTCACTCACCAACCCACATATGGAACCTACAAGTCCATACTTGTCACAGCAAAGGCCTACCACTTATTACAAGACCTATATTGAAGCTGCCTTAATCCATTCAACATCATACACTAATTCCTTAACTCTCAAGCATATTAAAATCTCTGACACACAATTTTCAATATTCTACACTTACATTCTGGTGATGGAATCTCTTGGGCTTCTGTTGCAAATGAAATGCATGGTTCTTTTAGTGAAAACAATGCCCATGATTTTGATTTGAAATTGATGCCGTGGAAGCAAGCTAATGAAATGTTGTTTCCATGAAGTTCCATTGTTCCTCCTAGTATAGTACCAGACATAGGCAGTGGAAAACTGAGGGTAGACAGATGTAGGCCACCAACTTGACCCAAAACACGTTGCCAGTGACGATGGTGTCTTGCATCTTGCACAGCAGAGCTTACCCAGCTATGAAAACATGCTGTTAGAAACACACAGAGAAGTGTTTGGTGAAACAATTATAGTACCACAAATGACTTAATATATTCATTTAATTTACTTTCATTGGTGTTTATCTTTTACTTCAGATTTCATATAAATAACAGTCACAGAACATTTTAATTCAATATTTTTCATGACCCTCAGCCCTGTATCTTTTGCATCTGTTTTGCAGTTCTATAGTTGGATCTGAGATTCTCACAACAGTGACTATGAAGGGTGCAGGTTTCTGGGCTTTCTAAACTACATGACATTACAACCTAGAAGACTGTATTATTCAGTTCTAGAGTCACTTTACATGTATTGATAAACAGACAGATGGCGAGAAATAATGAAATTAATAGGTGCTCTGCAGCACTGGGAATGATCCAAAAAATGAAAATGTATCAGTTTAGAAAGAGTCCTGTCCTGTTACATACTGGTACCATCAGTATTAAACATGAACAGCCACCCACCACAATTTACAATTTCTGTCATAATATCCACCTACTATGGGGCACATGGTAGCATAGTTGGTTGAGACACTACGCTACAAGCTGGAAGGTCATGGGTTTGAGTCCCGATGAGGTCACTGGATTTTTGAAGAAGCACCTAATTCTTTTAGATGTATTATGGTCCTGGGGCTGACTCAGCCTCTAACAAAAAAGAGTACCAGGCATCTTCCTGGGGGTAAAGGGCTGCCGGTGCTGATAACTTCTCTGCCATCTGTGAGCTAACTGTCTAGAAAATGTGGGAGCCTCGATGTCCCACAACCCAATGGGCCTCCATGGCCTGTTACAGGGCTAGCTTTACCTTTTACTTTATCCAGCTACTATATGAAACTATTCAAGATTTCTGTTCAAATAAAATTTGAGTTTGGCTAACGGTAGTTCTGTAATCTTAAATTAATTTTGCTGGATTTCCTTTTTGTGAAACTGCTAACTTACCACTGCTTTGTTTTCAAGCAGTATCTTTCAGTACAGCATGAACATTTCCAGTGGCAAATGAGAACTGCTCACACATATGAGAAAAGCTGGAGGAGAACTAAATGTAAAGACTCCCTCTTTGTTGGACCCAGTAGACTGAAGTATGGCATCTAATCCACTTTAGTGTGTGACCAAGAAGGGACAACAGAATGTTTACAGAATAATAAAAAAGGAAGTATTGTTGGAATTCTAACCATCTCCACCAGATTTTTTCTTTGCATGAGGCTGCTTCTTCTTGAAACTGCTGTTCTTGGAATGTGTCCGTGGCTGGAGGCTTGAAAACACACGCTTGCTGCTTTTGAACTGTTGAGAGAAAAATTCCTCTAGCTTGTAGAACATTTTCAGTAGATCAGCTGTAGTTGACTTTGAGATCATTAGTTGCAGCTGATCCCAACCCAAGTCTCCATGCATGAATATCATTGCTGGCCTGTTATACAGTATGTAAAAAAAGTTAACCATTAATTGTAATGTACAGGAAGGCATGCTACCACACCATGGTATAAGGTTACAATTATTGTTGTGTGTAACCACCAAGGAATAAAAGCATACAAGGACAGTGGATTTACAAGTTGTTTGTTTTAAGCTCTCTGCTGAGATAATCAAGTGTACTTGAATTCATCCTTGCTGCAGTTAAGCAGATTCATTTAAAATCTTATATAACTGTATTTTGTGGGTTACGTTTATGCTACGTTTTTACAAAATTATCTAAATCTTCTGCTATCTTTTGGGAAGTTTGAACTGGGTTAGTTCATATTTGCTACAGAATCATACATTACAGAAATAAGGCATATTTTAAAATTGTTTTATCAAACATGTTGCATCATGGCATCCATGAAACCTAACTCGGCCAAATATATAGACTGGAAAATATTTATGACACTGTCTCTCCTACATCTGATACACATACACATGAATTATGTATTACACTGAAACTGACCAAACAACCAACTCTATTGTTGCATGGGGACACTGATTTCAGTATCAGATTACTGAATAAAATTAAATAGTTTAAAAAATGATTTTATTAGTAAAATCTAACTAGTCACCTTCCCTAGTGGGGAAAGTTTTGAAACAAGTTATACTGATCATCTTGGACATGTCACAAAACATAATGCTGACGCCTGTTGTCACTGGCTGAGTTTGTTAACACATAAAACCATGGAGAAGTTACCATGTTGCAAAACACCAGTGGAAGACCACCAGACTTATGTGGAAATATTCAGTAACAATTAGAAAATATTATGAAAACAATGGGATGGTCAGACATATCATTATCAAGTACATATACCTGTGCTTGCCACTCCCAAAATAACTTCACTTTTCATCCTGAGTACCCCCCAGTCCATGCCAGATACAACATTACTTTCAGAGTGAAAGTCAGTGCTGTACCAGCTTAGACAGTGATTATAGCTGAAGTCAAGGTTTGTTCAATTGTATTAAATCTTGTGTAATAAAGTAGTTGTTATGCTACTTCTCTGGAGCTTTTGCACTACATACATTCCAGCCACTGCTCGACCAAGCTGATCACAGAATCCACAATACCTTGCCTGGGAGATGGGGTATATGACGCTATGATAGCATACCATGAAGGTTCAATGCCACTAATAAGAATGCTTATGACTCGGTATAATCCTAAGCCAATTCCATACATGAAGATTTCAAACCTCCTTGTGGAAACAGATTTGGATATCAGATTTTAGTGACAGTGAGTTAAAATACAAGGACTGAGTCATCAGGTAGTGAATATGAAACAATTGCTAATAACAGTTCAGCACTGGAGGATCCACCACAGCAACTACTAGAGAAGCAGTGAAAAGATTAATATTACTGTGTCAACTGCATATAAAATATAGCAATGAGTAAGAAATTTCATTATTACAAATAATGAGTTTAGAAGGGTGACTAGAAAAGCAGTCATAGCCTATTTTAAGGTACTAATCCAGAATTTGTGTGGAGGGACTGATGAAAATGATGAAAAATCTTTGTTTGGATAGCAGAATGTATACAGATTTAGACTAGTAATAAGCAAGAGTGTTAATGACATAAAGTGTGAAGGAGACAAAAAATTCCATGCATTTGTCATTCTGAAATTTGATGGAGGTGAGTGGTCAACTTGACACTATGGCTATTTAATCTCTATAAAAGACACCTATCAGATAGGAGACTAACTGTGTTCTCAGAAGTGTTCTGGGTGGTACAACACTGGAAAAGGCACTATTCCAGCAATTGCACAGAGACTCTGAGGAAGATTATGATAAACCTCCATCAGGATGGCTGAACTGAAGCCAGTCCCTCCTAAATATGAAGGAGCGTTAACTAACCGATCCTTTGAGTTAGATGAATTAACATATGTATATAACATAGTCAAATATTTCATATATAGCTGTAAGCAGTACAGCTTAGCAACTTCAGCCTTAAATATTTCCCAATGCTTTAAAATAAATCTTAGCACTAATAACTAAACTTGTAACTTGGAACAACTGAGCTATAATCTCTTGCCATGTCATGTTCATAACTTCACCTCAGTGGATATCAGCACTAACCTCCTGGTAGGAATGAAGTTTTCTGAAGTTTTCTTGTTATGATTAATCTTCCATTCATCACGAAGGGACACAGCCAGTGAACTGACCCGGCACATGAGCACACCAGTTCCCATGTAATCAAGGCGCAGCTCTAATGCAAACAGTTTAAGTCCAACAGTATGATCTGGTTCTGTACCTGGGTCTTCTCTGATATGAACTGAAATATGCAATGGTTAAGCAGAATTACATTTTTTTTTCAAAATACAATAAGAACATTCATCTTCAAGTAATGATATGTTTCAAATAGAAATAAAAAATGAATATGAATATTCTGTTAGATGCATATAAGACAGGAAACAACATTTTGGGGACTTTAGTAACGTGAAAGTATGTATAAAACTTGGAAGGAACAAAAGCCAAAGCCAGCCACTGCACACTATTCTGAGATAGTTACATCAACCTGTTACTTGCGCAACTTATTTTCTTACAATCAAACTTAACATTATCCTCCCATCTATTCCTTGATCTCCTGACTGCATTCTAGGTTTTGCTACAAGAATCACATAAGCATTTGCCTCCTACATTTCAGCTACTGTTCTACTGTTATTACTACTATAAGATAGGTCAGCCACATAAAACATAGAGTCCCTTGTTATGTTTTATTATATGAGTATATACATCATTTCCAGCAAATCTCTCAAGAAGTGCTATACTACAAAAATAAATTATTTTTGTTACAATTAGACCTTTATGATTCATGATACTGAGGCTATTATATCTCTACAGAGTTGATGCTGTTAAGAGGCACTGGGGCTCTTGACCTGAAATAACTCAGCTGGTAGCAGCAGAACACTGGATAATAATAATACACATACTAGGTCTGAATATAAATGCAGTTCTGAGAACCAAATTTCTTTGTAGTAAAGCTTATGTACTGGCAACATAATCTATGTGAAGGTAATTCTATACCAATGTACCCAAACTTGTGAGTATAAACATTTCTTCTGTAATAACGTTTAACTTTGACAGGTAGTGAAATTATACTATACTATGAGTGAACCATGTCCTCACTGTATGTGTCGATCTTGCTCAGTTCAATAGTTCCACCAACTATTCCTCCTTTGGCATCCAAACTAGATCCTCCAAGTCCCACACCAATATACATGTTCTTATGGCCTGTGCTTCCAATAGACAGGCGACCCTCAGATCTGAAGTCTTTGGTAAGCCACCTGCACAAATGAAATGAAGAAGTGTAATGTATGTATACACCATGCATATGTTATTATTTTTCTTCTTCTTGAAAAACCCTTTTCCAAAGAAGATACTAATTGTAACTACTATTTCTCACATGCAAGACTTGCAACTGTAGGTGATTTCAGCATTTGCAATGGGACAGTGCTAAGGCTGGTTTTTATTATGGGTGAAAGAATGGTAACAGTGCAGTCCTTGAAGATGAAGACAGTAAGAATCTCAGAAAACATTGGCAATACAGCCCATATATACATGGTGCGATCACTCAAAAACAGGAACAGAACTGAGACCTTGAAGTGTCTGTATCTATGTACAAGTTCTCAGATAAATAACTAAAATCTATTAGCCATTTAAACTCCACTTGCCCCATGTCAAATTACGTAGGTAAGTCAATAAGTAAATTACAAATGGATATAGAACTTAAACAAGAGTACTGATTTGAAAAATGCTTTTATTTCTCAACATAATCTCCCTGTACATTGAGGCCCTTGTCCTATCATTTCACAAGCCCCTGAAAACCAGCAGCATAAAATTCTTTGGACTGCTTTCGGAATCGAGCGGTGACTGGGATCACGAAGGCATACTGCTCACCGTATTCCAGTCTCAAGGACAAACTGTAAATGCCGACTCCTAACGTAACATCCTCAGGAAACTTCATTAAGGTCATGCAACAGAAGCGACAAGGACTACTCACCAAAGGCGTGTTGCTCTTGCATGACAACGCGTGTTCCCATACTGCCAACAAGACAAATGAGACACTGCGAAATTTCAAGTGCGAAGTCCTTGAGCATCCTCCATATAGCCCCGACCTTGTTCCAAGCAATTTCCATTTGTTCAACCCTCTTAAACGNATAGCTCAATCGGTTAGTTGCTGGCTTCCCACCACGGTGGCCTGGGTTCGATTCCCGGGTCTGGTTAAGAGGGATTTGTGGTGGACAAAATGGCGCTGGGGCAGGTTTTCTCCAAGTATTTCGGATTCCCCTGCCAATCTTCATCCCACCAATTGCTCCACAATCACCCTCACCTATCATCTGGGGCTGGTACAATAGGCCAGAAGTGGCTGCAGTACAAGGGACTTAGTCCCACCCCACTAGCAATAAAAAAACTCACTTACTGACTTACCCTCATACATCAAATAATGTACCTGCCACTGGAATTTATTAACCCTTTGCTGAGCCATTTAAATTCATTCTATCCAGACACTATCAGACAATTAAATTAAACTAACACTCTTATACTCTGATTTAGTATATTAGCATTTCAAATCTGTCATAGTACATGTATCAGGCTGCTTGCCTTACCAGGAAATCAACAATGGTACATCTACTAGTGTAACCTTAAAAATTTATTAAAAGTACCTGCAATATTGACACAGATGTTTCACTGCCCAACATCAATGTGAAGCAGTGCCACCTACAGGAACTGTATTTACTGTTACAACTACTCAGTTTGTATATTCTTTGTCAATGAATGCCCAAGCCCCCCCCCCTCCAATCTGAACCATTCTTATGTCCAAATGGATTAAGTAGAGGCCATGTACTGTTCTAAGAATGATACAGAGTCTGAGTTCATCTCATAATATTTACATCACTGATATTGCTCAATATTTGAAAGTGGGCAATCTTCATTTATCATTGTGCATGCTTGTGCAACTTTTCCTTACATGTGCAAAATTTCACAATTCATATGCCAGAACTGATGAAATTATGAATTTTTTCTGGCTCCTTTCAACCCTCCAGCAAAGGAAAAGGGGTTATTTAAATAAGCACTGGTTACAAAATGTCATGAATGGCAGTATATGTTGGATTTAATGTTCTCACAGTTCACACTACTTGTAATGTCACATAGTTTGGCAGAAGTCCATTGATGTTTCAGAGGAATATATCGCCTCCACCTTCAGTGTTGAAAAGTAAGCCAAGCAAGAAACCAGACATAAGCAGGTGGCAAATGGAGTGAACTTCCTTTAGAAAAACCTGCCACAAGGGAACTATGGCAGTGTTAAACTTCTAATGAATTATACGATGTTACAACTAGATGATCATAACTCCATAACAAAGTATATTTAACATTACTATGTTGTAATATGTCAGGCACAACAAAGAGTTAACTACTGTGTGGCAAGTGGCCACATGTAAGATTTCCCTGCTTCAGCAATTAATTTCTATAGTGAAAGGCACAGCATCTTAAAGCAGAATTCCCTTCATTACTTCTTTTTTTTTTTTCTTTTCAGTGCTCAAAATATACTGTGATGATTTTGATGTTTATGTTTTCACACCCTGCAATTTCTATAGGATAATCTAGTCTCTGCATTTTTGTTACTACAGTGATCACAATATTAAAGTATTTGATCTTTTGTGATTTCCTTCAAAAAATATCTTGAACAGCCTGTCTAACCATATTTAAATGACAACAGGATTACAAATGAGCCATGTTTATGTTCGTATGGTGCAGGAAAGAGTCAGGCAGCCAGGTATCATTATTGTGCTTCATGATTTTTTGGTGTTATTTGTTATTAAATATTTTGTTTTTATTGAGATGCTGACTTTTCTTGAGTAATGTTTAAAGCTTGGACACCCCAGTTCAGCAGGGGAGCACTGAGAACACAACACTGGAACCAGAGACAAAGGCAGCAATCATCCCCAAAACTGTAAGGTAAAAGGGGAGGAGCTGCTACCAACAACTTTAGGGAGACCATATGTGGAAGTTGTTGGGTAAGTGCTTGGTCTTCTGCTGTGTCAAAACTTTGTTATTATACTTATGAAATCTGAAGTAGCATAAAATACTGAATATCTACTTAGTATGCTCTTAGATCTAATATATGAATGAGAGAGACAAACTTACGTGACATTGCCCATTACATTGCCCATGTTCATGTGAACATTAAGCCTAGTGAAATTAACTGCAAACAACACCAAAGTTTCCCAGGCTGAACTAGACTTCTGTTCTGAAGGACTTGGTATATCTGGTTTAGTTGATAATCGTCCACCACTGCCCTCTGGTTTGAAATATTTAACAAGAGTAATATAATATTCAAATCGTCTTCATTAAGTTAAAACACACACACATGCACACATGCACTCTCTCTCCCTCTCTGATCTCTTTTTGCACAGAATGGAAAAAGTATTCAGATATGATAATGGAGTGAGGTGATATTTTTTAAGTACAATATTTCTGGAATTAATGAAAATTATGTTTCCACATCTGCCACAGAATCCTTTTAAGTGACAATGATAAGTTCATCATCACTATACACTGCTAGGCAACGTACAGATAATATGTAACATAATGGAATTCTAGAAAATTTCAGGTTCTTTCACCACCTTATAGGATTTCCTTAACATAATTTAAATGGACTTATATGCAGTAAGTGATAAAGCTGAAATTACTTTTTTTAACATGCTTGTTCAAGTATGATCATTTTGTTTCATTCTAACCCTATTAAAATTTTAAGAGAAGAAAACTCTTCACAAATTTTAAACTACATATCATGTAGATTAAACAAACATGCATACATACACAAACATATATTAAATGTGTCCTTCAGACATAGACAACTTATTATATTAATGTAGCGTATTACAGTGTCTGTGCAACATTTACAAAACCAATACCGTAATTAAAATTCACAACTGCTCACCTCTAAATCTTGCATGTCGAGAGATATCATTTTCCAGGCTTAACCTGAGACGCTCTCTGGTTGGTAACATTGGACTTCGTTCTGTAGTAGGAGCAGATCGAGACAAACTATGTCCATCTGTTATAATTCGCCCACTGAAAAGATAATAACTGTGCTGAAGATCATTATCATGTGACACTCTTTTAACATATTGCAAGCCAGTATATCCCTTTAAATTAAAAATGTCTGTTCCTGAGTTGTGTGAAAACTGCACACAGGTAGTTTAGTAGTGCTTCACAGAATGGAAATCTCTCACAGTAAGAATGTTTATGCAGTGAAATATGGTAGATACTGCAAATATATCTTGTCTCACTGTACTTTTCTGTGTGTTGTATAAGCTCTACACTACCATACCAGATACTTCTTCCCATGATAGGGTGCAAATTATTTTGTCCAGTTTATGACAGGGTTCCTGGAGGGTTCTGTTTGTGCCTCATGGCACTGGTTCCTTTACTGAAGTCAAGCAGCATCCGAACTGGACGTTTGTATGATTTTCAGGGATCCACGCCCTCTCAACCACATGAAAAAACTTCCTGTATTTTGCATTCAGACTTTGGTGTGACGTTTTCTATACAAAAAAATGCACTGAATACAGCACAATTTGGAAGACATAATACAACTTTTTTGGACCACGTGATCGTTTTTCTAATGACGGAATAACTACTTAGGCACTGAGTTGCCTTGCCCACACCTTTCATGTATTTATTATATTCTGCAATAAAACTGGGCTGGATTTTCTGCCTTATTTCCCCAACTTCACCAATTTTAACTAGTGGGCTTTACTAATCATGCACACCACCAATTTTTCTTTCCAAATTATCACCTTTTCTATGAAATAATGATTGTTTTTTTAAATGTTTTTGGCTGCCTTTACAAGATACTGTGTAATTCCTATATTACACCTCATGGTGCGAAAAACCGCTGTTTTTATTGCAATCAATTTTCACACAATTTTACACTGTTATAAAAAAGTCACAATAAATTTGGCGATTTAAACCCATGGTGTTTTGCAGAATTAAGAGAAAATTTTCATCCACCTCATTCCTCTTGGCTGTACATACCTCCATGTTCCATATATGTATATCATGATTTAGCTTCACACACCGTTCTCAATAGTTCTCAATAATGGTGCCTCTCCATCAGACTGTGTCTTGGCAATAAAGGGAGATATTTTTCTGTTCGTATAGCAAACATAGTGTATGTAGCGTGTGTTGCGTATGTAGCGCTCCATGTGGCCGCACCTTTACACCACGGACCTTCTAATTCATCAATAGAAGCAATGCTAGCTTCAGGTGAACAATTTTCATTTTTGTCTGTACTAACAGGACAGACAAGAGATGGAAGAAAAAAGGAGATAAAAATCTGAAAGTGATACAGGAAAGGAGGAGGAGGAGGAGGTTAGCCCCCATCAAATTTGATGTGCAATGTAAGTAACCACCATGAGAAACAATATTTTCCAAAATGACAGTTCAACATGCACCTAAATGGAAACGGTATCTGGAATGCAACTAGATACGTGGCATAGCTGAAGTAGCTGAAGTACATATCAATGACCCACAAACAAGATGGCTAGAAGAGAACTTTAGCACTAATTGGACCAGAACAGCCAGCAACGGGTACTGCGAATAAGACGTGTGGAACTGTAAGAGTCTGAAACTTCACAGTTGCAAATTGGGGGGGGGGGAAATCTCTGGTGATCAGTCATATCATTGTGGAGCTAAAATCCAGTACTTCTGAGAGCAGCGTTATGTCCATTACTAGGGCTGATCATGATGACCGAGACAGAAGAAGCCTCTGAAACAGTTTCTGGCTAAACCATGATGCAGTTGATTGCCTGAAAAGATTTTACTGAATGTACAGAGCTTTATCTCATATTCCTATATGGAATAATATTAGGTACAGGAAAAATGTATTTACCTTTACCTTGTGCAACACATCTACTCTTCCTACCCTTGCTGCTGCCGCTGCCACTGCTACCACCACCACCACTGCTATTATCACTACTACTACAGCAGTAATAGATGTTTATAGACTATAATTTTAGCCAGCAAAACTGTGACTAGTAACTTACCTATTGTCTAACATACTGGATTTTCCCAGTGCCTGCGGAGCCGCCAACAAATGTTCTTCTTCCACACTAGAAGGAGAAGATTCTTCTCCTTCACTATAAGTAGCACTGATACTAAGATCACCCAGAAACAACCGACGCACAATGCTGCGCCGGTACCATGCCTTGGGGAAGGCCAGTATTTCAGTCAGCCGTCTCATGTCATATTTAAAAGATGCAGATCCAATGTCTATAATGGCTGAAACAGAGAGAAAAGCTTGTACTGAAATTGTGTAAACCAATTAAATATGTAATTAACTGGACAGATTAACTAACCAACTTGCTACATGACCAAGACCAATTAAACCAACCAACTGATCTAACCAATCAAATCCATGGTAGCAGCTAACAGTTATTTAACTGGTATTTCAGTTTCAGGGTATGTAATATAATTCAACTGACAGGCATGAAATTTATAATTTATTTCATACTCATAAGAAATTCTAGTAGTTTGTAAGGCAAGAAATTGTACATTATGATGTTTCTTTGGACTGTGTCAGCTAAAATAAGATGACTGTGGTGGCTTTATAAAAATTTGTGTCACTTTAAGATGTACAATATTATAATGATGCTAGAGGTACAAATTAGTGAAGTACACATATTTTTTATGTGATGCACAGATCAAACCTGGGCAGAAATTCTGTCACTCTGTAGTAATGTAACCAATCCTTTCAGGATAACATACTGCCAAAGAATGAGCAATGCTGCATAAATCCTTCTATTTGTATGGTTTATTTCCATCTGCTGGATTCCAGGGAGCAAGTTTTTTTTTTTTTTCTGTTTGACCCTAGATAGCAAAGTCTCTTTCCACTTCCATAGCTTCTTTTATAATTTTAGAGCTGTAATAAGCATAAGTCTGGTAAAAAAATATGACCTAATTCATCATGATCTCTATCTTCATAACATATTAATTTCCTAGAATATTCACAGAAATACCGTATTTACGCATGTATAGGCCGCACATTTTTTGCCAAAAATTCAAGAGGAAAACTGGGGTGGGGCTTATATTCGAAATATTCGAAATCACACTTCATTTAAAAAAAATTATATTCATAATTAGTAATACTTAGTAATAATTAGTAATTTCGAAATATTCGAATTCAAAGAAAATTATTTTTTCTATAATTTCTGTCTGAAAATTGTGCTGCGGCCTATACATGCACGCGGCCTATACATGCGTAAATACGGTAATAATACCTTCCCCTGAAAAGCTGACTTCAGGAATCATTTTTATAGCACTACAGTCAGTCCCACTGACAGGAAGAAACGGTCAACTTACTGGAAAATCGAATAACAGCTTGGCTCTGGTCTGAACTCTTCAATCCCTTTGATTGCTGCTGGTCACACTGGAAGTTGAGTTTACGGCTCCGTGACAAATGAAATTTCACAAATTCAACATCCACACTCAGAGAATCTTTCCGCTCACTGTCTGCCAATGGTGACCACTGTGCTTCTTTCAAACCTGGAGGTGGGAATGAAGTGATATGATACAGGTAAAGATGAAGTCTTCTGATCCAGTGGGAGGAATATTTATCTGTCTTATCACATCTAATGAGCATGTTATATAAAACCTTAAACTTTCTGTTGAAGCAGTGGGTGAAAGGAGTGAAAGTGACCCATTATTTTCATATATAATCTAATTCTCTATTAAGCCTTGAGGTTAGGCTGTGTAAGGCCACTTACCAGACTTTTTTCCACCACCATATGGGTGAAAGATGTATACAGAGAAATCTGCCAAGCAGCCTGTTACACTTAATCCGCCAACAGCTGACAGAGAAGGGCCCACATCAAACCTGCTCGCTGAGGAGTCTACACTGCTTGGTGGGCGACTTGAAGGCCTGCCTTCACCAAACTCACTGTAAATAAATTAAGGGTATGAAGGACCTACCAAACTTCAACACCTGGATCTGAAGTTGGGCCACAGGTTATGTTCTCACATTCTTGGTCAAATTCCACTTATTTCACTGCAAATTGTATGTCCTCAAAATTTCTTTACAATCTTCATATCTACGACTTTTGTTTAGAATTTCACTGATTGAGGGCAGGTCAAATATAAGAGGGATCGTAGCGTGTCAGTGGTCATTTGGGAGCACAGCATGCAGGTGCTATAATCCTAATTTACTAGAATTACCTACTTCTTCTAAAGGAGAGGAAAAGTTACTGTTTCTGTCTGTACAGTGTTTTAGCTGTAATGAAAAGAAATTTAGTTCCTGCACTTTTGTTACAAATATTTTGTTTTACTTTCTCACTTGATGTAAGTACTTTCAAAGAAACTGAACTCTTCATCAACTCATTACATTCAATAAAACAATATGACTCCTATCATGGAAGATTAATGTAAATCATGGAAACTGACAGACTATGTTTGAAGCAACTCAATATCAACCACATATGAAATCCAGAAGTTTATTGAAAATCCACTGTTCATTTAAACTGTAATTCAGCAGTCCCTTACACTAATATGATCCTCAGCACATGCAGCAAGAAGTTACTAGAATCACGTGAATGCATGTGCTTCCACAGTGGGCCTTTCAGGCTCTACCTCATTCCCTTTTATGCTAATGCTCTATGCCTGATTGCCTGCAACACTGTGTGTTCCTGTTCCTCACTTTGTGAGTTGATCAAGGTAAACACTTATATGCATTACTTCTGAAGCTTCAACATATGTCTGTTCAAACTGATAATATTGTGACATGTTGCGCAATGGAGGACCCCCACCTCCCCAGCGGCACGTGGTGGTAACGTAGCGCTCGCGTAATAGGCGAGTCATCACCCTGCCACTCTCCCCGCGGTGACGTCACGAGCGGAGCCGAAGTGAGCCGAGCGGAGCCGAAGTTAGCCGAGTCCCCGCAACCTTGTAGCTATTCAACGCGAGTCAACAGCGGTGACATCACCAAGGGGTAACAGCGTTGCTAGGCTATACGCCACGTCACAGTAGTGACGTGGCGGGCCACCCTAGCAACAGCGAATGGAATAAAAGCCGGCTGAGCAGCAAGCGAGAGTCAGTGTGTTATTAACAGTTCTCAAGGTAGCAGCCTGTGAGTGTGTGGTAACTAAGAAGTCAGCGAGCGGAAGACTTATTGTGTGCTTTTGAGACTTAGTGAGTGCTGTAGTACAGTTATACCTGGAGTGTGTAATTCAGGGAGACTTGTATAGCTCCCGCGTTATTAGTACGTGAAGACTTTGGTTGTAGGGTTTGTAAAGTGTGGAAACCCGCAACTGTGTTATAATTAATTGTAGCCGTATCTTGTAGATTGTTGAATAAACCAATTAACGATTGCTACGGTGTATTCAGTAACGAAACATGTTACAATATATAAATCTGAAGGCAGGCAGTATATGAAAGCTTAGATTATACAACTGTTTACTTAACCAACAATTTCTAACTAAAAGTTGGAGGTAAAAATATGGTATTTTATTTTCTTTTTACAAAATAGGCATCAATATATCATGTGGAGGCATAAATTATGACAGTAAATACAGTACTTCATAGTGGAATGCACTGCATTCAGTAACACTCTTACAGACAATTTGATGGTCAGATTTTCCTATGCAGCTAACTCCTCCAAGAAGCGTTTATGTAATATATATATAAAATATTTAGTGCATGCATTTAGTCCAAAATGTTTATAGATTCACATAAAAATAGCTCAGTATCCTGCATGCTGACGTCTTGTCGTCTCTGAAAGTGTGGTATTTCTGGAAACAAGGATTAGCACCTTGCAGTATCTCACAGCTTCATATTCCAATGTACATGTATGTTTTAGAATATAAGCACTATCTGCCAATGAAAACTTAAAACTATTAATTAAAAATGCAGTCAAAAGATGACTAAATTTATTGCTTTAGCTCTTCTCCAGTACACCAGAAAAGGTGCAGGTAAACTTTGAATCCCAAATGACAGTCATCTCTTTTGTAAGAAAGGCATAGTAACTCAGTGACTATGGCGGCGCCATAGCTCAAGAGGCTAGTCGCTGGCTTCCCACTGCAGCAGCCTGGATTCAATCCCGGGTCTGGTCAAGTGGAATTTGTGGTGGACAAAGTGGCACTGGGGTAGGTTTTCTCAGAGTACTTCGGTTTCCCCTGCCAATCTTCATTCCACCAATTGCTCCACAATCACCTTCACCTATTATCTGGGGCTGGTACAATAGGGCAGAAGTAGCCGCAGTACAAGGGACTTAGTCCCACCCCACTAGCAATAAAAAAAAACTCATTGACTATATGAATATATATGAATCAGAGGACAATTACTAATTAATTTAGTCCCATGCTGCATCCATAATCCCTCACTAACTATCTCAGAGATAAACTTTAAAAACTCACCTATGTAACTCCTCCTCAGCTCTCTTGGATGAGAAAACAATGTCCAGAGATGGAAGCTGCAACATACATTCCACTCTTGAAACAGGCAGGCAAGAGAAACGAAAGGTCGATGGCTGCATGTGGAAGTACACTATGACATCAACAGGAAAGGAAGCATACACATAATTGCTTGTTGCTGTGGCAGCAGCCCAAGAAGTATCTTGATCCATTGTAAACATGGCATTCATTGGTCCTGAACACAAAAAAATTCAGCTTCTGCATTACTCTTGCAATGATAAATCCAACAGCAAAGGAAACAGGTAAGAAAAAGTTCAATGACATAAGACAAGGATGCATTCTTACATTTACATAGCTGATCCCAAAGATAATTAACTATCAGCAACAGACTCTAATCTAGTAACATTCCAAGCAAGCCCCAAGAGATAACAGGGATACTATAATATACTTATTTATTTATTTATTTATTTCATCTCTATAGATCATTGTTACATGATATAGTTACTGTACATTGGCTGATTACAATAAGAGACTAAAGTTACAATACTTATAACTGTTTACAATAGATTACAATAGTTTAGAGTTCATATAGTGTCAGGTGGAATCCATATTAGGTCCCCTCGGCATGTCAGCTTCCATATGTCCTATTGTACCTGTACCGGTGATAATGCTTATGGAGAATTTCATGCATTGTATTGAACCTTACATCCATTCTCTTTTTCAGAACTTTTAATGATCTAATTAACAATTGTTTTAACATTTAGAATTTCCATTCTACCATAGGAAACATGTCATGTTTGTTCTCAAAGTAAGAAAGCAGAAGCACGCTCTACTATTGTAAGAAGTGTAATGTTGCACTCTGTGTGGTGGACTGCTTCGAGAAGTGACACACGCACGTCAGAGTGTGAGGTATCGTAAACTGTGAAGTGATGCAGTTCAAACTTGCGTACAGTCTGAACAAAATATTATTGTATATAGTGTGATTATATTTACAATATCACCACGATTCAAGGTTGAAGAAAAACAATGGGTAAGTTCTTTGGAATTTCATAACATATATATAATAAAGATCATATTTTGTAATTCATGACAAAAAAATGACAGTTAATTTTCATTTGTAAAACTTGCTCTTTTGTGTATATGTAGAAAAGTTTACTGTCTTTCAGGTTCTTTTTGGTTCATATTTCTATGTTGCATAGAACGGAAAATATTCATTTTTTTCTGGAAGTCCAATGTTAAAGACTTAGGGCCATTTAAATTCTGGCCATAGGGGGCTGCCAGCAATTTAAAAGTTACATTACAGGTTAATGTCAAAATCAAATGTTAAACCCATTCTGATGTACTTTTTTGATACCACAGAAATTATCCGTTAAAAATGCGTTCTTTTGCCCTATCCTGAGGCAGCAAAATCATAACTTATTTCTCCAAATTCATGATTTAGTAATCTTATTCAACTACTGATCTGACTGGCCCTGCTCCATGGGCTTCTGATGTTCTATATTTCAAATCTTATCTCCTTTCTCTCTTGATTACATTGCGCAGAGTAATCTGTTGTGCACTAACATAAATTTTCTTATGAACAGTTTGGTAAAACTCAGAATGAAGCTACAATGTAATTCATACCTGATGTTTTGGCCTGTTGTAGTGTTGAAGGAATAGGCTCTAGTGTTTGTTCCAAAAACTCTAATATGTGAGGGCTTATAATTGTCTCTTCTGGAATACTCTGCAATGTCATCCATGCAAATAGACTCGCTTTCTTGGTGCCACCTTTCCGGGACTGAGAGAGAGCCTGCTGTGCTGTCAGTTCACATGCTAATCGTGGTGATATATTCTCTTCGTGGAGGGTCCTGGATTCATAATGAACCTGGCAATGCAGGGAACAACAAACTTACTGAATCAGTTAATGATAATACCCAACATACAGTGACTCTTAGTTGATGGTTGACTGATTGACTGACTGCTTGACCACCCTCAAATTCTTCTCGCTTACTTACACTACAGCACAAAGCATCCAGGAAATATGAACAGAGAGGGGGGGTTTTGTCTCAGCAAGTCTTGGAAACCTCTCATCTGTTCTCTTAGAAAACCCCCACCGGGATATGACGCCAGATCCAGAAGGCCACACAGGCCATGACCAACCAACATAACAACCACCCCCACACCCCTCAGCTTACGGATTAGTGCCCAGCCTTTAACCTTGCCTTTCTCACCCCTACACAAAAACACGCTTGTCCCAGCTCCCTTCCCCTACCCCTCCCACACTACTGCTTTCACTTGTATACTTGCCCTTCCCCCCTACCCTCTCTGCTCTCACATAGCTGTGTATATTTCCACACAGTCTGCTTTTACCGGTTCTCACGGTCTCTTCGCTTTGCAGATTTCTTATATTTTTTCTTCTACCCTGAAGATGGAGGCGATAGTTCCTCCGAAACGTCGGTTAACACCACATATACACGGTGCCAAATCCTAGAAGACTGCTTTCTTCTAGTCCAAAAGGACTTCATCCTCAATCCACCCCAACCACAAGCCAAATGTCCTCTGCTTTGAAGGATGACACCAATAATTTTCCAGCTGCAGGATCCAGCATGTGGTGCTGAGCATACTTAGACAAGAAGAAAGACTACCAATATGTGCTCAAACTGTAAAGTCTGTCAAGTACAGACCTGTGTTTTCATACTTATCACAGAAAGTTAAATCTTAAATCAGAGTTCAACATAGTATGGGAAGGAAATAACTACCTGTAATGTAAATGTTTTATATTTGTATTTATATACAAAATATTTTGGCTTATTTCAGGAGTTAATAAAAATTACTGGAAACAATTTTTATTATTATAATAGCAAATTATAGGATTTGGTAATGCACTTTCTTTCATATATTTTGGTGGGTATATTTCCAAAGATATATATATGTTTCTTCAATACTTATATTATTATCAGTTAAAACATACACATTAAAATTAATTTATCAACCCAGGAATTTAATGCTCCTGGTCTCACACAGTAAAGGTTATATTTCTTTGTTATACAGACTGCAAAAGTCTTGCATATTTTTGGTATGCCCTGTGACAATGAGTGCAAACTGTGGTACAAGTTGTACATGAAACACCAGGAATGTTACATGCTAAGAGTTACACAGGGGTCACTGGGAGGTCATTCTAAGCACCTGCTTCAGTATAAGAGAGAACAGAAAGATTATTCTTATCCATCAGATATCAACTGACATGAAACACTCGAACAAGTCTCACAAAATAAATCCTGTTAAATAGGGTAGCACAACAATTTTGTAACCAAGCACTTGAAAAAGAAACAAAATTAGAAATTTTATACAAAACTGTGACAAGAATTCACACTCAAAAGAAATATATTTCTTTTTTGAACACTGTATATGTTCATGTATGATGAGCTTGAAAAAATTATGGGAGAGAGTGTCAAGATCTACTGCAAGATTGCTATCCTAGAATTTGCCTAGCACTGAGCGAAATTATGCGACAACTTTTCAAAACAGCTGGTGAACCAACCAAAACTCAAAATGGGTACCTCATAAATACAAGTTAGACGTGCCACTGCTTCAGCTAGCCTACTTCATGACATGAACTGGCTTATGTTTTAGATTTGACAGATGCAATAATATGTACTTACTTTGACATCCAGTCCAGGGATGTGAAATATTGTGAGATCAACTAACTGGGCAACAGTGCTATGTAAGTAGCGTAATCTTGTTGTGGAAGAAGTTCCATGTGGCTTTTCTTTGTTGCGGCGGTTCATGTTGGGGCTCGAAGGGGGAAAATCAAACATCCCTCCTGAACAACTGCGTTCCTTCTTCATGCGGCTAGTTCTAATTAAGATGAATATGTATGAAACACAAGTAATCGATCATGGAAATGTGAAGACACAAAGTGTAATGAAATCTCATGGTAAAGTTTCTCAAAAATGCTTATTCAGTGGCCATAATACAACTGATTCCTCTGTGCAGAATATTTCTTGAGAGTTAGTACAGATATTCCCAGTTTTTATGGAACCCAAAGATTCATGACCTCACACATAAAATCCCAAAGTTTCACTCTATCCTAAGCCAGTGCAATTCACTCCATATTTTAAGATATTGATTCCCTAAGATCAATTTTATCCTCCTAAGCATGGGGCTTGTAAAACCCCAATTTGCTCTCACACAAAATTTAAAGTGGCAGTTTCAAATTCTAATTGTAGAAGACTAAAAAACGATAAACATCACTGCTGTCCAATTATGCATCTTTATAAAAGAAAATGCATGTAACAGAGGAACGAAGACCTTTGAAATGGAATCATTATTTTTCAGCAGAATTTCAACAATTTATTTCATCAGATTTATGTTGTTATTAAAAGAATTATGGCAAAATGATAAACTTTATGACATGAATATTTATGTAAAGATGTGACTGCATGCTACTTTCATGCATGAGCACTGTATGTGCTCTACTAACATGCATGCTACAGTACTTATCATGAATTTCCTGAACATTTTTAAATCTAGAAGTCAGCCTCTCAGAACAACATGTACCCAGAAACAACATATTATTTTGCATAAACTTACAACTTAAGTTCATCTTCTTTTGCTGGATCCTTAGTATGCAGCACACATTTCCCACTGTTAATGAAGACTTTTACATCCAGTTCAAAGTCAATATTTGGTTCCTGAGGTTTCTGGAATACTGCTGTTCCTGACACTGGACTGATGCCACCTCCTTGCTCCTTCTGATATGAATCCAGCAGCGGCACACTAAAATAAAGAGAAAACATAGTAAGAGGATTATGTCTTCTGTTTTTCTATAATATGTGGAACAATTGTGCTGTGTTGGAGATGGTTCATATGTTATCCAATAAGAGAACAGAATTACAGCCAAGCTCTCCCCTTCAGCATCAGGTGAGATGACAAACTTAAGGTGAACTGACTCTTTATTCATAGAAATATCTGGAGGAAGTCTAAAATAGATTATTTTATTCCAAACACTTTTAATTAAAAATGTATCACTCTTACTCTAATAAAAACTCAAAATCATTCTTTTAGAAACTCATGGTCTTCACTGCAAGTATATTGCATGTGCAATAACAATCTTACTTACTATGGTTCTGAGAAACTCTACAGAAAAAAATTAAAGCTCAGAAATTAGTCTCCTGGAAAGAAATAATAACTTTGAAAGCCCCTCAAAAAATATATTTACATATTTAGGGATAAAATACTACAGGAATATCCAAATTCTGACATTCAGGTCATCAGCAGCTAACACAGAGGCAATGAATAATTTTAGTTTTACTAGAAATTAAGGGATGAAAACCGATTAACATAATGGATAGTCACCATAGTAAGTTACAAGAACCTAAAATATTAATACTGTCACGTGTAGGGGTGACTTATAAGATGGGGTTTGGATTGGATGATTGGATTTATTGCACCTTATTCCCACAACTCGGGAATACAGGCAATTACAGTGCTATCGCTATTTTACACACTTTACAGTTCACTGTACATGCATTAGGGTTCTCAGACTAGTTGCAGTTTGACAACAGATTTATAACAGTATCACTGTCACTTCAAATCACATGTGAAATCTTCTTTTCACAGTCTAATTCCCTTCTTACCATTATTCTGCAGCTGCCAACTCAATTAAATTCCAATCTCATATCCCAGCAGGCTGGCATCTCGAACTCAACTCTGTTCCATACTGCTACTACCAGCTTTGGAACCCGAAATCACTTTTCACAGACCACGCAGAAAACACAGCATCTCTACTGTTAGGAAGGTGTGTTTACGGTGCTGTTGCATAGCAACGGAGTTATTCGATAGTTGCCTGCAAATCTGTTGCTGCAGGAATATGTTTACTGAGTCATTGCCTAGCAATGAACATCTACTCTGACATTGCTATTCTGAATTTTGAGCATCATGGCACAACATAATGAAACAAATGCCTGATGAAGTTCTGTTTCCAATGATGTTTTTCCTTTGTGAAACTCTCATACTTTTATACCTCGTGGTTTCTATTTCTTATTCTAAGAACATAAATTGTGAAAGAGTAGCAATATACCAAGAAAGTTAATACATCTCACCTGTTTTCAATATTATCATAGTAGGCTGATGCATATGCTGATGGTTTCTGCCTTAGTTCTACTCTTTCACCTGATATCTCTATATGATCACCTGTCCATTCCAAGTCCCCTTCAGGGAGGCTAAGTTCTGAGCCTGCACTTGGGAGTGATGACTGCCTGCAAACAAATAAATTACATAATAACAAAAAAGCTGTAGCCAGACTATCTTGTTTTTACTGTGAACAAAGCAAACTGTGGCCCCTACTGCCATTAACAGTAAGAATCAATTACTGTATTTAGCACAATACGAGGAAATCACTATTTCAAAACTTAAATCTAAGGAAACCATTATTCCTCCAGTCTTAACAGCATGCCAAAATTGTTTCCTAGTCACTACATTTGTTTAAGGATGATTTATTTGCATATGTACATTCCATTATGTTGTACGGAATAATATTTTGGGGCAATTTGACTCAGAGTAATTTAATTTTCATAGTGAGAATTATTACGAAGGCAAGAAATAAGGACTCTTGTCATCCATTGTTCAGGCAGTTAAATATTCTGCCCTTATATTCTCAATATACATTTTCTGTATCAATTTTTGTTGTTAAGAATTTAGATATATTTAAATTTAATTCTGCTATACACAGCATTAACACCAGACAAGGTTTTTACTTACATTTTCCAAGTAATAAATTAGCTAAAGTGCAGAAGGGTGTACATTATTCAGGAATTAGGATATTCAATAATCTACCACAAGGCATCAGGAATCTATTAAATGATATGTCTAAATTCAAACACGCTCTAAAAGAGTTTCTTCTAGCTGGGTCATTTTATTCTTTGAATGAATATTATGAATGGAACGCAAGGGGTGATCTTGGTTCTTATAAATAGTATCTAAAATTAACCTTGACAAGTCCTGTTAACTAACTAAAAATATATAAATAATCGTCTACTTTAGATTTGCATACATACCAACTATGACTTTTATGTATTTTATCATACAATCTCTTGTTGTTTTATGAATTTATTTAATTATTTATGAGTGTATTTATTACCGTATTAATTTTTAGTACACTTCTAAGAGAAGTTATTTGTTCCATTTATTGTTCATGCATGTTAGATGTTTTTATAGTTTTTCTTTTGATGTGTGAGTGATGTAACATACATTATTTGATATTGTATTGTTTATTGATAATATCCATTCCTATGCATTGTTTCTATAAACTGAATGAATTTTATAAGATAAATAGTTAATATGTTTTCATCTAGTATTTAAGTCTTGTTGTAGTCACATTTTATTATGTTTAGTGACTGTGTTGTCTATGTTTTATATTATGTTATTTTGACTTGTTCCAGTGATTGGTTGGAACACTTGTTTTGATTTTTGACACATTCTATATCCAGTGGTGTGTCAACTTGTTTCTCGCCTTGTAATTGGATCTACTTGAATATAAGAATAAATTAAATTAAATTAAAATTAAATTATGTATGGTTTGTGTAATGACATCAGTAGTAGGATGATCAGTGAATAATGAATTGAAAAGGATGTGGAAGGAAGCAGTCATGGCTTAATATGGAGCACCACTTTAGAATTTGCCTGGAATGACTGAGGAAAACCATAAAAGAAACCTGTCAGGATAGTTGGATTCCTGACCAAAATTTGAACAAGGCACCTTCCAAATACAAGTCAAAGGCATTACTGCATGAGCAGACTTTCTCAACCCACCAATGTAGTCCTGCAAGTTCCACACAGCTCTGTCACTTAACTTGACACTGTCTTCTAACAGCATCAAACAGATCTGAACAATTCCTACTGAAGAATGGGAGCACAGTTTAGTAACATTATCTTCTGTTCATCACAACTTTTTACTTGCTTTTGCTCAGTAACTATGCTATGCTGTCATGCAGTGAACATGTGCAGAACAACATACAGCCTCCATCTATTAACTAACTCCAGGAAGAGAAGCCCTTTTGAGAAGCTATCAGTTGTGCAGTTACTGAAGAATTTCTGAACATTTTATAGAACCCAAACGGTTCATTATCATGTTCACAAGAGCCCTTCACAGGTTCCTATCCTGAGCCAGACCAATGCAGTAGATATCATCCCATCCTATATATCTATGTTCTGTTTTAATATTATCATGTGACAGAGTGACTAGAGGGGGTTTGGATTGGTAATTGGATTGATCGACCACTTATACACAGAACTCAAAATTACAAGCAACTGTAGCACTACTGCTGATTCAAACACTCTGCAGTTCACTACAGCATGTACTAAGTTTTCTCAGTCTAGTGTCTCTTCACCCGTCATTTTTGTCTGCATTATAAGTCATGCTTTCATTTTACAGAATCTAAATTATAAACAATTTGTTACATTCAGGTAAATGTAGTATTATGCACTACAAACAAATAATAATGAAAATAAAAAAAAAGAGGTCTAGTTCCCTCCGTGCAGCAGAGTCCTTCTTCATAAGTTTTCTCTTTCTTTTTGAAAAAAACAGGGTAGAATCTGAGAGTCCAGCCTGTCCACACAGATTGTGGAGAGGATTAATAGCAGTTGAACCAGCAGTGAGATATATGACTGTGATTTTAGAGTAAAGAACGTATGTGTTAACAGATGCTGTAACATCCTCACCTGCAGACATTGTGCGTATCGCTGAATGTAACTCGAGGCCCACTTAACCCTCGAACACGAAGAGAAGCTGACCGAGATGGACCAGAGCGTGGTGAACTCTCAAAGCTTGCAGAATTTCCATTGGAATTGATACTTGCACCACCTATGTCATCTGGGCTGCAGAGCATACATTAAGAACATGAAATGTTTTCACAAAAACTTTTGACATAAATTTAAAAATCTAATTCAAAAGAGAAAAAGTGCAAGGCACAACAGAACATTTTCTAGGATACAGGTCTATAAAACACATGATGCACCTGAACTTTATATGCACAAGTATTATATTCAGCATGAGATTTTACTCTTGCTTCTCATTATTGAACAGTATAGAAAATTTAAAAAAATACTTTATTTTCTTGTACATGTATGGTAACACTGGCCAAATGCAGCAAGGAAATCCTTAAACAGAGAGAAACTTTAAGATAAGATAACAGAGTTAGAATTATAAAACCTGAGAGCTAAATGTTCACCACATGCGCTTCCAATCACGTCGAGGTCACCAATGTGGGTTTTTTTAGTCTTTGTTGTTCGTCATTACTCCGATGACAACCCACTTCTTCGGAACAGTTTGTTGGTCCTGAAAAGGACCATGGTTGCTGAGATGTTTGATCGGTGAGGTAGCGCAGCGTGCGCCGGTAGAGATAGAGGTTAGTTGTGGTGGTTTGACTGGCCACAGCGCGGCCGTTGCTGGAGGTTGCTTGATCGCCGTGCGGCAGGTGAGTTGAAGTTGCGTGGTCACGCAGCACAGTCACAGGAGTGATGAGGCAGTGGCTACGCCAGATGCCCAGTGGGTCGGACAGGGTCACGACCACCGGCGAGTCCAGGCGAGGTGCCCCAGTGCGTCGGGTGTGAGAGCTGGAGGGCCAAGGAAGTCGTGCCTGGCGCCGCCTGCCGATGCCTCCGAAGACCGAGTGCTGGCGACAAAGCCTGTTGGCTGATGTTGCTTGAGTGTGGCTTGATCATAGACTGAAGTCAGACTGATGCTGCCGGTTTGCGGCTGCTCCTTCTTATTATACACTGCTCAGTGGGCGGAGCGAAACTTGAAATTGAGGAGGAAGAATTTGCAGGGCGCTGATTGGCTAGCGCACGTGATGATGTAGATGCAGGGCTAGCAGCGAGCACAGTATAAATGCGAACGTTTGGAGCAATTTGATTGGTTAGCACGCGTGATGGTGAAAAGTGATGTGAAGAGTGTGCGTTGCAGAAAATCCGTGATAATGTGGGATGTTCCCACAACTGAATTAATATCAGTAAGCCTTACCAAAGTGAGTTCATGGAATGCTATTTATGTTCTTACTGAACAGTTTACATTATACTGACTTCATACTAAACACCAAATTTGGAATGAGGGGAAGAAATGTTATGTTAAAACTTAAAGAGATTTTTGGTGAAATATAACAATTTGATTTATAGACCAATTTCGAGTCCTAAACGGTATTTATGGACCATACTTGCCACATGAGGCTACTACTTTATATTAAGGTTAAAATTAGTGTTTAAGAATAACTTATATACATTCTACTGAACTGTTCACAGTCCCAGAAATGTGTTAAAAACATGACAATCCTACCTCTTACTTAACAGTGAAATGATGAGACGTGTTAAATGACTCAGATCTTTGACCAAAACACATTTACTCCACACATCTAGGTCAATGGGCTGCCTCACTCACCTCTCCATCTCAAGATGATGTTCTGGAGTAGGAGATGGCACAATAAAGGACCTTGAGCGGTACGTGCTGGCTTTTGATCCTAATCCAAACTTGCCTTTGATGGATGATGCTTTCACACTCTGGCGACGTAACTTTTGAATCATATCCCTAATGCAAAAATGTGTCATGTACATACCAGCAGCAGAATAGGGAACACATACAGATTCAATTAAAGCCAAATAGTAAATGGAATATGTATAATACACTGTAATTTACTAATGCTGTCTGCTCTCAAAAGAGACAAATTACAGTATTTGCTTATGTAATTCACACACTTTTTAACTGAAAACTTATGTGCAAAATATATGAATAATATTCTTCAGAGTCTGATATTATACAGTGAACCAAAGCTGAGAAAATTACAGCTCCATAATATTGAGAAAAATGTATGTTGTATGGAAGAAAATGAGGATTTTCACTCTTTTCTGCATAATATATTATCCTCAGATTTGAACTGGGCTGTGCACTTTATAATTTTCCAAGTCTTACACACCTTCAAATTGCTGCTAATTATCAATAATTTAACATGCAATAACATTAACCATGCAAATTCCTTGACTGTAATAAATACAATAAGGCAATCAACACATAATACATTTAATGGGGAGCCCCAATGTCAACACCAGCTAACCTTTCAGACAGCTTCTCCACTTCAACATGCTTTCAATTTCCTAAGAGTGCTGCAACACCTTTATTGGGCAAGGATCAGTCCATTTCAACAAAAGAAAGTGGAGAAGCAAAATAATGAAAGGCAAAACCATATCAGTGCTATCCAGAAGAAGCATCACTCCTAGACAGAAATGGAGGTGAGATGGATGTTTATACTGATTTGGGATAATAATGCGATATTTTCCAATACCAGTGTAACTTTTTGTTCTCAAGCTATTTATGTCTGGTGAAACATATGGTGATGAAGACAAGCCCTTTCTGAACTGCTAGGCTATCTTGGATGTTTATAAAACAAGTGGTGAAAATAGTACTGCAGTAATAAACACTGTGTGGATCTTCATCTCACAGGCATGCTCTATATAAATCCTGTTGCCCAAGTCTGACTGGTAGTGTTTGTGTGAACAGGAGCAACAGAGAAAGTGAATGCTGGCTGGTACTGTGGTGATGTACGAGGGTGAAACATCTGGGCAGAGGCATGTTACAAGCATAGTACAGCAACAATATTTCCATTATTGAGGGGTTGTGGACATGTGCAAAAAATGCTGTGGGCCACATAAATGCAAATAATGTCTCAGTCACATATAAAAGTTAGACAAACATAAACTTTTAAATCTGTAATTCCAGTTCTCAACAGATCTGTCAGGATTAAGTAGAAAACATGTGGATGTAGTTAACTGAAAATTCTATTGTTCATTACTTGTAAGATAAAGTACTGTATTTTATTAATATATGAACTGTGGTTAATTAATCTAGTTAGTAAACAACCATGTCTCTAAGTCACTATTTATTTATTTTAAAAATCAGAAGTTCCTGCACTATATTATTGGCAGGCTCTAATACTGACATTACCCGTTGTATATGCAATAGCAGTAAAAGACATATGAACACCATTTTTCCATAGTGCATGTCCTTTAGTACCTCCCTCTGTCATTCTTTCATAACAGTCTATGCCTAGCGACCTGCTCATGCATATTAGTGTGTCCCCATACTAATGGTTCAAGAGTTGAGCAATGCATAAACAATTGTGTGCAATACTTTTAAGTCTCAACATCTCAACATATGCCTGCTCAAACTGATAACATGGTAAGGAATGGATATAACATAATGACCATCTTTGCTGGCAATCTCCTGGATGGCATCCACTTCAAAGGCCAAGGAGGAAATGGATCACATAACAATATATGTCCTGGAGATGGGAAATGGATAACTGGCTCAAGACTTTGATGTTAGTAGTGCTGGAAACTTTGGAGTCTGTTTTTCAATACAGAAACTAAAATTCTGCAGAACTACTAAGATATCCTTACCTTCGGAAATCCTTGAAAACCATAGCCTCCAGCTCTTGCAACCGTTTCATCTCTTGCTCAATAGTTCCATGAGATGCTCCCAGTGAACGAAGATCATTAATGATCTTAGCTTGTTCATTCATTTCCTTCTCGATCAGTTTTGAACGCTTTTTGGCATCCAGAGATGGGTCAAACACAAATGCAGGCAAGCTGTCTGTCAAATTCCGGGATCGACGTAAGCTTATGCTCTCCTGCATGGATAGAAGAATAAATGTAGTGCAAGTTTGTTCCTTCACATTCAGTAGATGAATTATGAGTTTGCATATGTGCAGCTTCTTTACAATTTTCATTTCTAAATCATCCCAGGAGCATTTTTTCTGTGGGTAATAACCACTGTGTGGATAAGATATTCATTTTTGGGGTTAGCTCTGTCTCTGCTTAGAGCTAAAGGGAAATAGTACCTAGCTTTGTGGAAAGCATTAGGTAAAGCCAGTCCATATTCCAAGGTCTATGACTAGGCAACATAAAGAGTTGGTACCATTTCTCTCTACCTGAAGACAGATATTAAGCTACATTTTGCCCAACTCAGTATGTACTATTTTCTGCAACAACATGTAGCTACCTTACTGTAACTTGTGTTCTTTAGTCTCTCTTCTTGTTCACTGTTTTTCTATCTACCTCCCCCCCCCCTTTCACTTTTGGTAGCAGTGTGGAGCACTGATCACCATTTACAACTTAGTTCTGGGACTAATAGCTTCTCTGGCCACAACAGTATCCCATGAGGGCCCAAGGGACCTCTTGCAGTTTTGGGGCCTCAAGGTGAGTGTCTGTTGGGCCAAACTGCGTTCAGTCTTTTATTCTAAATCCATTATTTGGCCTTGCTTCATGCTGGCTTACTCACCGCCAGCCGGTTTCCCAGGTTTGTTATTTTAATTCCTGTCTAGCCTTAACTGTTGGGGTCACTGCTGATTTTAATTTTATTATTTTTTATTGTTTCATTTGATTATTCTTGTTATTTGGCCACAGCCCTAATATGTGCTTATCTGCTAACTATGCAGCTGAACCGTAACCATACCAGTATCAGCAATCATGTTTGTAAATGCTAACTAAGTCTGTTATGAACTCATTAGTGTCTGCAATTTTTATTTGTTAATTACATACCCCTTAAGTTCTATTACAACTGTCACTGAGTTATTTCCCGTGTTGTACTTTTAAACTAGGGAATATCCCAAGTAGCAGTCAGAAGGGCGAATGGAGGCACGACTAGAAGGATTTAATGAACTGCTGCCCAATTTTTCCCACCCTTTCCTGGCCTAACTTCCACAGCAAAACCCCAAGATGTTGTACTTCACCTGTCTACCTCCAATGCTTCATTAGAAATCATTTTAAAAATGAAAGCTAAATGTAGATTTCATGGGGCTACCATGTTGTTTAAATCTACAAAAATATGACCTGAAAAAGGTGTCTTGTACTTGATATTTTTTTTTTCAAGTTTTGGGACCCTACAATAAGTAATGTTTGTGCTGTTACCCCCTTAAAAGTTAGCATGACATCCATGTTGGTATTACTGATGACAGGAAATTACAAATTACAGTGCAAATGGATTTCATTCTAGTGGTGTTCATACCAAATTTCATATAAATCTGAAAACTGATTCAAAAAGTTACTACATACACATATAAACACATAAAGACCCCCACAAATCATGGAAATAAGAAAATTTGGCTAGCAAATGTGGTATAACTGAATAGTTTTTTTAAATCAGTGTGTCTGCAAAAATCAGATGAAACAAGAAAATACCACTTCAGAGACCAAGAAAGAGATGGAATTAATCACATAACATTATTATTAATGTGGTCACCACCAAAATTCTGTAGGTACTGACTGTTTCTTCCACCCCAGACAAATGTGCAGGCAAATCATAACCACCTTTGTAATTAATCACAAACTACAGACAAACCATTCTGGATTTGAGGATCTCAAAGCAGTGAGTGAAAAGTACTGCCTTCTGGATGTGATGCCATGTAGACCAGTGAAAGTTCACTGAGTTTCGGAGGAACATAGTGCCTAGATCAGCCGTGTCAAACATGCGGCCCCCATAGCCACAAAGTGCGGCCCCTCAACTTTTAGAGCTAATTGATATTAAAATCAATATTTAAATTTCAGTAGAAATATTTTTTGTAAAGACAATTTTCCAACAGACCAGAAGACAAAAAGTCTCATGCAGACATAAAGTAGCAGGCTGCAGGAAAAGTGATTCTGAGAATTGCAGAAGGGTTTGTCCGACTAACGGTTTGTAAAGTTCGTGAAGGACAAACTATTTTATTTCAGAAGGTTAATGCACTAAAACACGCACAGCCTCACCACCCCAAGTATTTCCAAGAATCCCTTTTGGAGGCATAGTAAGAATGCAAGGAGGGTGGCAACTGACAGACAAGTGCAAGGGATTTCTACCTTCAAAACCTTCAAAACCAGCTTGCAACCCCCAGCCATTGTCTAATGGGCTGCTAACAAACTTTCATTTTTATGACCACTGAGACAAGATACACCTTCCTACTAGTCCGGTATTCTCTTGTACATTGCCATTCAGTTCATTTTCACACAGCGACAGGTGCTGATGTTACATTGTGATGAACATATGAAGGTAATAATTAAACATTAAATTATCAATTACGAGTTTTCTTGTATATATACAGTAACTTTTAAAGGGCAATGTCGCTTTCAAAAAATTCAAGTAGCAAAAAAAGAACTACTGAAAGTGAGTGCCGTGTTTTTCAATAAAAATGGTAAATTGCTTATTTCTGTTGTGAAATAGAAACTAAATTACATGTTTGATTTGTGGGCAAAATATAAGTGTTCCACTTTAGGTAATTATACTGAAATTATTGCTAAATAATAAATAGAATTAAATTTCCTTGTATCAAAATCTAATGTATATTTCTATTTTGAAGTGCGGCCCTGGACTATTATTTATAGGGCTCAGGTGGCCCTCTGTACAAGTTGAGTTTTACATACCTGGTCTAGATCTTCAGGGCTGAACAGTAAGAGAAGGAAGAAACAATATAAAAGGCATAGTTTCTGTTTGATTCCTGCTTGTTCTCTTTACAGATAAACCCTATGTTGTTTTTAAAGGCTTTTTTCAAGTGACTATTTTTAAAAGGTAATAGGAGACATTAAAAGAGAAGTTTAATATAAAATTAAGAGAAGAGAAAGACAAAACACTTTGTAGACAGAGATCATTAAATTAATCTGTATTCATATTTTTCTAGACTTCCTTTAATTTTATATTAAATTACCTTATCAAGTGGGTCTCCTTTTAAAAGAAAAATGAGAGTATCACATACGTACATGTTGTTTATGGGAACGTACCAAGGAGGCTGTATTGCCATCCACTTGGTCGACCTCATCACTGTCATAGTCTACAGTGGCCGGTTCATCCTCTTCCTGTGATCCTGTAAGCATGGTGAGTGTGTGTCCCAGTGCTGACAACTGCTTGCCAACATTCACATCCAAATGAATATCCACACCTTCCATTTGCCATTGTACATTTAGGAACCATTTTGCGTTTTCTGGATATAAAATACAAGCATGAAAGTCAAAATAAAAACATGTACTGTAAAAAAATATTAAAGCAGTCTATTATTTCCATAATGACTCCTTGCATTTTTGAACTGTTAGATAACATGACATATGGTATGCTATGACAAGACTGATTAACTAAAATGACTGAACAACTAACTCCCAGGATTTTTCTTGAGCAGTTCATATTTATTAAGCCAGTTAAGAAATTTCATATTCTTACAGAACCAAAAGGTTCATCACTGTCTTCACTGTCCTTATGAGTTTTCCACTGGACTCTACCCTGTGACACTCAAACCCAGTTCACACCTCCACAAACTGTTTCTCATAGATCAATTTTAATATTATTCCTCCATTCATGCATGCTTAGGTCTCCCAAAAGTTCTCCTCTCCTGAGGTTTTCTATAACCTCTAGCATAGGAGTTCAGTACCTTACTCCTAACCCACCATCCTTGGCTGCCTTAATTATGTACAAAATAGTTTCAATCCTTAATAGAGAAATAAATAAATATATACACATATAAAACAAATATAATATATTTTTACCAGTGCCTTGCTTCTGGGCAATTGTGCGGCTGCAAACTTCATATGTTCCTTCAGAGACAACACAGAGGTTCATAATGGTACTGTCACTCATGTCTGGTTTCCAGTCATCAAGGCTTGTTTCAAAATCATCAGCAAAGCGAAGACAAAGCCCCATAAAGCGACCTTTACTGACTAATGAGCCTGAACTGCAGGCTGAGATGCTAGTGCTTTCAAGTGTGATAACCACCGCACCACGACTCTCTACATCATACATCTGACGATTCACTCCCCAAGATGCCTGCAATAAATAGAGCCTCATTTAATAAAATCCTTGAGCCAGAATGAACTCCATGGAGCAAAGCCTCTTTAGTCATTCAGTTAGTCAACAAATCCCCTACTTTTTTGGAATGTGAAGGTTTATTATCACGCTAATAAAAGTCTGCTACTAGGCCACACCCTGAGCCAGATAAATGACTGAAGAGATAATTAAAAATATATCCATACACAGCATTCATGTATGTATGGGTTGCACTATTCACTCCAGTCAGGAATGTAATCTTCATGTTAAGTTCTNAGGGCGCTCATATTATAAGGTAAGGTTATAAAAACCATCATTTAAGATCATTTTAGTGAAAGTTTCATCCTTCAAGGCGTACCATTCACTGCTGAAATACTAAACAACCTGCTTCCATGGCCGAGATACAGGGCGCCCATATTATAAGGTAAGGTTATAAAACCACCATTTAAGATCATTTTAGTGAAAGTTTCATGTTCCTATCTCATAGAATTTAAGAACAATGATGAATAAATAATTTTCGAGCAAAATTTAAATGGCCGGCTGAATATATTACCGCAGGAGCCGCGGCCGCGGAATTTAAATGACCACGTCAAAGGGTTAATATATACACAAATATGCACATGAATGGCTGAATGTAAATTAATTTCACAAATTTACTTTAAACATGTCTTCATTTTGACTTGAATTGTGAACATGGCAACACAAACCAGATAGACAGATTCATGTCACAGGCAGAAGATGGCAGCAGCTGCCTGCAGAGTACAGATAATTGGGTTTTCTATAAAGAAGGGTATCACAATGTTTAACATTATAAGACTTTTTTAACACTAATAATACAGATCACTTGCATAGTACACGTCTGGTTACTACAGCTGTGACTGTGCCATAGAGCTCTTACAGGAGCAGTAGTTGCTTTTGGCAGTATCACTGTTACACTGTAGTGAGACCTGTGCAGTCCTGCAGCTGATGCAGGAAGTCCTGTCAGAGCAGCCATAAGAGAGCCACAGTAGCAAATCACATTTTGAGGTCATGGAAACAACATGGGCATGGTTCGAGGCACAGGGTACAAACTTCATCCAAGACAGCCTCAGTAAACTGCTGTTATCAATGCCTCAGTGTAGAGGGAAATTATTTGGAAAAGTAACTTTAATGTGGAATACAATCCTGAAGGTGTAATATACTGGTCTTATGTGTGATCTAGGAGAAATGAATTTATAAAAGTAACTTTCTTGTTCACCCTTGCATGTGTATGTAGGCGTGCACATGCATGAGCATGCATGTGTAACCCCCCCCCCCACACACACACACACACACAGTGAAGGAAAAATGTTTTGCCATACTTTGGTATATGGTTCCATACAAAACCCCATATAAAATGGGTGAATCATTGTGAGATAGAAGCAGTACAGTGTTTATGTGTGGAGAAACAGTGTAGATGGCAGCAACAAGATGTTCAATGACAACAGTGCAATTGTTTACGGTGGCGTAGTAGTGAACAAGAACAAACTGACAGCAAGACTGTCAAGTGGCTACTGAAAATAACTGCTCCAAAACATGATAAACATTACAACATGTTGTTTAGTTCAGAAATAGAACTGATCTGCACTTGGCTTGCTCTGAACTATATCCCAGGAATTTTCTTTTTGCAGTCGATTTCATATGCTGCTTGCATTTCTCTGTGCATGCTTACCACACTGCACAAAAAGTATTTTACACAATTCATGAACCAGGTCTTCACTTCCTGATTATACACTTTAACATTTGACATTCTGCTATTTTTTTTACAGTAATCTAGGCTTGTCTGTGCTTCTCACTGCTCAAAACATCTATAAATGGTTAAATTCCTTTAGATTTGAGGTTCTCATATCAGTGAAGATTCATATTGTGATCTTCTGGGTTATCACACTGAGTAGTCAAATTGTTGGTTAACAACATTTTGGAGGAACATACATCTTCCTTGTTCAGTGTAGAAGTGGGTCAAGTTGAAAAAGGGGCAGGTATTATAGAAGTGGTGGAGGAAGGGGTCGGAGAGGACAGGAGACATGGCCAATCAAAGCTGGGAATTACTTTGCCATAAAACAAACCAGGTGAAAATTGATTATAATTATGATGCTGAGCAACTGCTAGCAGCCTATGAACTGGCTTTACATCCAATGGACTATAGAATAAAAAGACAGTGTTTCCTAAAATGTATATTAAAAAATGATGTGTAATTATCACTTATAACTTACAAGAGGTAGAGGGTTGAGGGGTAGAGAAATGCCCATATCATCCACTGTGAGCTGCAGAAAAAGTGTACCAAGATGGGGAGCACTGAGCTGACTTGTTAACTGGCCAAATGGAACTTTCTCAAACACCTAAACATAAACAAAAATTTTCTATTTAACACAAGGTATCACAAAATACTAACAACCAGATTGGCTACATAAAACACAAGTAATTCTTTAGGAATGTATGCTAGAATCTCTTGACAAGTTGGAAATCAGTTTAGTAAATTTAAATTGATAAACAATTTCAAGGCAGATCTGCATGCACATCAAACAGATTCATACTTACTGTGTGGCTGTAAGAACTTCTTTGTTCAAATTTGAACGCTGTTCATTCCAGTATTCATAAGCGTTTTTGTAGTTGAGCCATACCAATATTGCCTTGTCTACAGCCATGGGCTGGATATAAATCAGCGGCCGCTTTAAAGTTATCAGCACAACTTCTTTGTCCTCTCCCTGAACCATTTCATCTTGGAATGCATTATGTAAACCTGAAAATGACCAACTAGGTGGATTAGCTCAGTGGCAGAGAATATGAATTGTATTCCATTGTGAGTAGACCACTAATCTGGGGGATTTCAATTTGCTCTTTGAATGAAATGTATAAAATGAGTGCCTAATGAAGAGGCCATGTCAATCTACATGTGTTCCCTCAGAAGCTACTGATTTCAACTCAATCCAATTTAGTACTGAAGTGGTATACACGGAATTATTGGGAAAATTTAAGTTTGGTTCAATGTAATAAAATTCATTCTGCACATGAAGCAAAAATTAAGATTTAATACAATTTTATGTACAAAAAACCACAGTACATTGACATTTTCATGTGTAATAAAAGTCACTAATGTGGCACAGTTCAGATATTTGGGAACAACGATAACAGATCGAAACCTGATTCAGGAGGAAATTAAGAGCAGATTGAACACAGGTAATGCTTGCTACCATTCAGTCCAGAAGCTTTTGTCTTCTCACCTGCTGTCCAAAAACATAAAAATTAGAATATATAAAACTATAATTTTGCCTGCGGTTCTGTATAGGTGTGAAACTTGGTCTCTGACATTAAGGGAGGAAGATACACTAAAGGTGTTTGAGAAAAGGATGTTGAGAGAATATTTGGACCGAAGAGAGATGAAATGACAGGAGGTTGGAGAAAACTGCATAATGAGGAGCTTCACAACTTGTACTCTTCTCCAAGTATAATTAGAATGATCATGTCCAGGAGGATGAGGTGGGCAGGGCATGTAGCATGAATGGGGGAGAGGAGGAATGCATGTAGGATATTGGTGGGAAAGCCAGAAGGAAAGAGACCACTGGGAAAATCAAAGCATAGGTGGGTGGACAATATTAAAATGGATCTTAGAGAGATAGGATGGGATGGTATGGATTGGATTGATCTGGCTCAGGATAGGGACCAGTGGAGGGCTCTTTTGAACATGGTAATGAACCTTCGGGTTCCATAAAATGCTGGGAAATTCTTGAGTAGCTGCAGAATTGGCGGCCGTCCAGAAGGGCTCAGCTCCATATGTAAGTGAGTAGGTAATAAAAATCACTAATTTTACAAACACACATACATGTGCATGGAAATCTAGGGATTTTCATATTTCTTACTGAACAGTAGAATTAGGACGATTCATAATTATTATAGACAAAATGAACACAATTAAAATAATGACAAGAATAAAATCATTTCTTACACTAACAGTAAAATGACTAATGAATACTGTCATAATACTGAAATGTTTCATAGGGAGCAGCTATATATACACATATAAAAGGAATAAAGACTAAATCCAATTACAATAATTCTTGTTATTCACTGACATCACTGTCAATTTCTTCAGTCAAGATTATACAGTTTCATTTCAAAAGTCAGTAATTTCTGAATGGGCAGCAAAGTTATTGTTAAAAAAACTCGTGTCATTCCAAAGCAGAATACATGCAAAGTTTCCAAGTTCACAAGTGTTCAAAATAATATTCTCAAAATGTAACCCCCCAAAAAATAAATGGGATTACACTAAAAATGAAGATAATCTGGGCTGCGCCATAGCTCAAGCAGTTAGTCACTGGCTTCCCACCACGGCGGCCTGGGTTCGATTCCAGGTCTGGTCAAGTGGGATATGTGGTGGACAAAGTGGGCAGGTTTTCTCCGAGTACTTCGGATTCCCCTGTCAATCTTCATTCCACCAAATTCTCCATCATCATAATCACCCGGGGCAGGTACAATAGGCCAATCAGTGACTGCTGTGCCGAGTGCACCCAGTTGGACTCCACCCCCGAATAAGCAAATTAAAAAAATTAAAGGTAATCTGAAAAATGCACGAATATTTCATTGTTAAGGTGACAGAGTAATTATATTTTGCTTGTATGCATCATTACTACACAGATGACAGCTGCCCAAAATGTCACTAAATCGCATAGAAACTGAATGTGTTCAATCTGTTTATAATAGGACGAGACACTAAATCTGATTTTACAGTGAATGACATTTGTTGAAAATATGTGTCAACATTTTTCCACAGTAAATCTAAATTGTTCTATCTTTGCAGAACTACCAACTATCAACTGTGCTGCTTAATAACTGGGAATGGTGTTTCTTGCACTGGATTCATCTGATTTCTCAGAGTGAATATTGTGGCGTATTCGCTCTATGCAGGAACTGTCGATCCACAGGGGCCTTGGGACACGCGTGCAACGTGAGAGTTGCGGATTGTATTGGCGCGTTGCTAGGCAACAACTCTGTGAATGCTTGGATTGCACAACAGGAAGTGCGAGTGATGTCACATACCCCACTCATCCCGTAACTACACAACACTCAGTAAACACACCTCCCTGCTAAGCTGTGACATCACGCAACAGGCAAGTCCGTGCAGAGACTACTGCTAGGCAATCGGTAAACATGACATTATGCAACAGTGGTAGCTATCACGTAACTGTTCTGTGTTGTCAGTGCAGAAGCTACATAACGAGGAGTATTCGTCAGAGAGAGTCAGTTACTGGAGAGAGAGAGTTACTAGCATTCAGTATGAGTTGAAGTCCAGCAGCTACGAGTTGAGTTGTATCAAGTGAATGGAAGTGACTATAGGAGAAGTAATTGTGATACTGCAGATGGCAGTAATTGTGAAATTATGAATTGTGTAAGTGTAAGAGCGAGTGTACAATAAATTCGCTAAGATCCAAAACAGCATGAAGTTCTTTGTCACGTGACAAACACCCAACACGTGACATTATACTCCATCTTATTTTCTGAAGTTTGAAGTCTACAATGCTCATAATCTCAGTACTACTTGTAGTACTGCTTTCATTTCACAGCTCTTATACTCATGTAGAAAGATTGAGATCTACACTGAATCTTGGTCTACCAGGTGCTATTCACACTTTTAATAAAGAATCTGAAAAGTACATGTTACCTTGACACACTCCTTCCCACATATTTTTCCTACAAGATGTAATAAGTACCACAGTAAACATCTAAGGTGGCTGTGTATTATGATATAATAAGGGGCATGAAAATAATAGTCACATATGATCTTACCTACACGAGTCTTAAAGAAAGCATACTGTTGAAATTCTGGTTCAGCTTCTTCAAACATGACATTTTTGAGAAGCTGACCAAGGCTCAAATTTATATCCACCTGTGCCTTTCCAAATATTTTCATGTATGGGTTGGGCTGAGCAGCTCCAGAAATGTTCTGTACTCTGTTTGACAGTTGGAATTCAACTGCACCTGTTTCCAGGCGGACAGCTGAATTGGTAGGTGTTGTAGCTGTCAACTGGATTCTCTGTTAGGACAAAATCCAATTCTATAAATTATGAAATATTATACAAATAATATTGTATATAAGCACCCTGTTGCATCAGTACACTTGGTTGTCGACTTACGACCTATGTGACTTACGACTGGCAGCACTTACGACCACAAAAAAAAATGAAAAATAAAAGATGATTAAAACTTAAAGTTTTTAAAAATAAATTATAAAGATGATAAAAAGATTAGAAAGGTTGAAAAATACTGTTACTAAATATATGGCCAACATACAACCAGATCAACTTGCGACCTGTCAGTCAGAACGGAAGTCGGCCGTAAGTTGACGACCAAGTGTATGCCATTTATTTCATATAAAATATATATATATATATATATAATGTGAAAAATTATACAAATATTTAATGACAATATTATGAAGTTAATCCTATGTTAGAACATCAGTCCATGAACAAGTATGGTGGGTGGAGAGGGAAGAATTAACACAATCTTAATCTCAACACTACACCGAAGTTAGGTGCCAGGTTGACAATCCAGCTGCTCTTGCTACTAGGGGAAGAGCTTCAGTACCTAAAGGACAGGACTGTAAATGGGGTCTCAGACGTGGTGGTGGTGAAAAATACACAGCAATAAAAATTCAGCTTATGGAGGCATATATATATGGTTCAGAAGGTTAAGTAAAGTTTCCACTTTACTCAGTAGTCAGCTTCTTCAGAGAAACTCTGAAAGGTTATTTAAATTATTTAAATCAGCAGCATTAGTCTGTTCTTTCCATAAAATTTTATCTTAAAAAATATATGAAATCCAGGAGTTAAATATAATTTTTTCAGAGAAACCATCACTTATATAAATAAGGTGTATTTTCATGAAAACATACCTTAACCCTAATGACTAGTGAGAAAAGAATCCTCTTAAGGGATGAAGTGGTGGATTCCTCACTATCCTCCAACCACAGTGGCACTGGTTTCTCGCCTCCATACACTTTCTGCACCACCTCATTTACTTCCTATAAAACAACAAAGTTAACACTCTCAATACATAAGAGTTATAACTTATAAAATGCAATTATCTTGTTTCATACATGTGTTAAAAGTAATGAGATTAATTTTGTAAAACACTATTTATTCAATTATTTGTCTAAATCAACAGTCCCCTTCAATATAGCTTCCCTCTGATGCAACACATTTGGCCCAGCAAATTTCCATGCCTCATAGCAGGGCTGGAAGTCAGCTTCTGTTATAGTCTTGATGGCATTGGTTACAGCCTTTAAAGGTTTTCAAGTGTCTGAAAATGACAGCCCCTGACTCATGATTTTAATTCTGGAAAAATGTAGAAATCACACCATGTAAAATCTGGAGAATAAGTGGCCTATGGAAGCATGGGAATGAACTTTCTCATCAGAAATTCACGAAATGGCAGTGCTGTGTTTGTAGGCGTGTTGTAGTGCTGAAGCTAGAAGGATCCAATCGTCTGCAATTTCCAGTCAAATTTGCATCACCCTCTTTCTCAGATGGTCAACAACTTCAAGATAATATTTTTGATTCACTGTGACACCAGGTGGCACAAATCCTTTATAAACTCCCTTGTGAGAATTGACAAAAATGATTACCATTGTCTTGATTTTTGATTTGCTTATGTGAGCTTTCTTTTATCTTGGAGACTGAGGCATGTGCCATTCCTCATTCTGCCTCTTGGTTTCAGCATAGTATTTGAAAAACAAACTTTCATCACCGTTTATGACCCAATTAAGAAAATCTGGTTCAGTTTCCAGCTATCTAATAATTTCTGCTGACACTTTGTTTTGATATGATTTTTCATTGCCATTAACATTTTCTGGAACCATCTTTGTCCACACTCTTCTCATTTTCAAATCTTGTGTAACAAGTTGATGGACCATAAATTCATTAATGGGGACACATTGTAATGTAGCTGTTTGAGACACTGGTTACAAGCTAGAAGCCATGGGCTCAATTCCTGATCCCCTTGGAATTTTTAATTGACCTAATCCTTCCAGCTGCACTATGGCCCTGGGGTCAACTCAGCCTCTAACAGAAATGGGTATCAGAAACCTTCCTGGGGTAAAGGGTGGCTGGGGTGTAAGGTTGACAACCTCACTGCGATCTGTAAGCTGACTGTCTAGACAAATGTAGGAGACTCAACATCTCACAACCCTATGGGCCTCCATGGCCTGTTAAAGGGATACTTTTAAATTCATTAATATTAAGTTCATTGGTGATCATTCAAATTGTCAAACATTATTTCTGATGAATGAAAGCCCTCACATGGTTGAGGTTTGTGCTTGTTCTCATAGAGGCAGGCCGCCCAGACTGTGGTTCATCTTCCACCATTTCTTGCCCATTTACAAAATCTCTGCACTACTGAAATACTTGCGCATGTGAAAATCATTACTAATCGCTTTATGAATCTTTTCATAGGTATCAGCAAGGCCCTCACCCTGCTTGACACAAAACTTGATTGAATAACCTGCTTGAGATTATTTTTCTCCATTTTTGTGACACTGTAACAAAACATAGGAATACATCTACATGAACCACAAGAGAACCATATGTATTCATACCAGCAAGTTCAAACTTGGAGGGAAGGTAGAGGAAGGATGTAGCTACCATTCTGTAACAGTCTCAGTGCTGCAGTTTTGCAAATTCTGACATTAAAAATTAATCTTGTTACTTTGATAACATACCTCATAAGGTGTCTTCTCATCAGTCCCTAATATCAGATTTTTATGAAGCTGTCCAAATGAGATGATATAATTATATTTGGTCACCATGCAAACTTCAGATTATATTATTTAACAGAGTTATAAAACTAAAAGTAATGCAATGTGGCTGCATATGAGACTAAACTGAAACTTCCTTTTCGGGCAGGGTTGACTTTTATGTCTTAATCTTCATTTACTTTGTTAATCTTGTTATACTGTCTCTTACAAGTTCACTGCATAATGGCTGGAGAAATAGGAGGCACATGGGAGGAAGTATTTATTTACACATTAGTTTTCTACCTGATATTCCCTGATTCATCAGCCATATCATCTTCCTCAGAATCACAATAAGACTGGTATCAAAATTGTATGGTATAACTGGTTAGATAACTTTCTTGAGTAGTTGATAGTTACTCAGCTGCTCAAGACTCCTGCATTTACAGAACCAAAAGATTCATAATAGCATTTAGAAGGGTCTGCCCTTTGACTCTATGCTCAGCCTATTGAATCCTCTATATCCATTTCTCAAATATCAGTTTTAATACCATCTTCTCACCAACATCTATGCCTTCTATTGAGTTTCCTTAACTTCGGATTTTCCAGCCAAAATTTTGATACCATTTCTCATTTTTCCATGGGTACTACACATTATACTCAGCAAATAATTGAACCACTCTAATAACATGCTATGAACTGTCAGAACGGACCTAATTATCTAATTAACACCATCTACCGAATGCAGTAAAATTTTATCACAGTATGCTATAATCAGTAATAGAGCAAGTATACACAACACTACTCACTTTCATAAAGACTTTTTGAACAAACACCAAATGATTCAGCAGATCTGTGGTGAGAGAGTGTTCAAACACGCCAATATCTGCCACAGCACTCAGATAGCTTCCTTGTCGGAAAACAACACCATCTGTAACATGCATGCCAATATAAGAACTGAGATGGAATGGACAGAAGAGATACTGTCACTTCGGTACACAATGTTCTCATCTCCTCAGAGCCTAATATTTGTGCAAAAGTTTGTGAACAATGTGATTACACAGGAAAAAAAAATAGTTTAGCTTTTCCGGTTAATCAACAGTTCCTGTACAATGAACACATGGACCTACAGTCCCATGGTTCATCTTTATCAAAAATTTATTTCATCAAAAGTCTCAGAATTGGTTACTCAAAATAGAATATGTACATAACAAAACACAGGGTCAACATTTTTGTTTAAAACTTTTCTCAATTGGTGTTGCTTACTTTCCTTTAAATGCTTAACTGAATGTTGAGGTTATAATGTACATAACAGGACAGTTATGGATGTTAAATAAATCAATCAATCAATCAATCAGTTATCAGGCACTGACCCATTTACGTGCATATTTCCACCAATAATGAATGTCATTATGTTAAATCTGCCACGAATAACCTCACAGTACTCCCACACTACCAGGTAACTGCTAAGAGAGAAGAATGTTTCATACAGAATTTGTAATAGTTATAGATTCTGTGCACAAAACATGTTTTTACATTCTACCCATACAAAAACACCACATACTGATGATCTACTAGCATACAATGCGTCATTAATCTATATCAGCTCCAATTTTATAAGCTTGCATGGCTGCCATGCTGTTATCACTGATGGTCTAAATTAAGAAGTACAACGAAGGGTGATCTGTAGTGGCATGACATTCATACTAAGTTTTGTGAAAATCTGTCATGTGCTTCAACATTATTAACTGAAGGAACAACCCTTGGACTGGATGAAATCATACGCCTGTTTTTCCTTATGAAATAAGACAAGTATGTTAAAACCACTTGTAATTTTATGTACTCTATATGTTCTAATGAATTAATAAGCATGAATGGAACAGGAATTAATTAATTCCTTAATTTAGCATTTGCTTAAAGGGGCTGGGTAAAATAAACAAATAAATAAATAAGTAAACAAGTAACAGGAAGAGTCTCCGGACTTCATGTTGAGAAACAAGACTTCCCAAATAGAGGAAACCATCTGGGGAATGATTAATATTTTGTAAAACTTCAAATTTTGTTATAACATACTTTCACCTGTTATTAAACACCTGTCTAATAACAGAGTTTTACTATATTAAATTAAACCACAAAATCCAAAAACAAAAGACAACAGGAAACAATAAGCTACAACAAGGTAAAGAATCTAACAAAATAATATTTTATTTTGTTAGATTCATTTTCCTGCTCAGGATACTGACCTTGAAATCCAAGCCACAGACCTTCTAAAAGCAAATCAGACATGCAAGTCACTACAAATGTTAACCTTAAGAATTACTGAAATTAAATAGCAGACTTTCTAAAAGAAAATCAAACAGGCAAATCACGATGCACTCTACACGCAAATGATTTTAAAATTAAAACTTCATCATAAGCAATTTCTTATCCCCTAGTTATGCACAAATGTGTTTCATAAAATACTGCCAAATCACATTCATACAATATTTCTACAATGGTTACCAAGTTTTATGTCTACCAGGTTCAATCCTACATGAGAACTGCTTTCCAGACAGTCGACATGCACCAATATGATAAAAATATCAACTGTGGGGATGCTGTTCTACATATACTTTAAAGGTTAAATGACAGACATGCTAAAAGCAAATAAAACATGCAAGTATAATTTAAATGGTCTTAAAATAAATTACAACAAAGAATGAAAAGTTCTCACACCTGCAAATTGTGCCTCTCGAGGATTATTCCCATCCTGAACATATTCAGCAGAAACATGAACTTTAGGAAGTTCAATACTGGCTTCTGATGGTAAATGAGCATCAGTTACCTACATACACATATATTATATATTTGTAATTTAAAATAATGAAAAGATACTCAAGTTGATTTGCAAATAGAAAACAATTATTTCCTAAAATATATACAATTTACCAAGTCCAAGTATGTTGCCACCACCCACCTGTGAGTTTTACCTTCACCATGCTTTTATGTTGAATGGTCTGTGATACCTTCTCTGAAAACATCATATCAACCCAAAGCATGATATGCAGCTACCAGAACTGATCACCATGTGTCAGAGTCATTATTGTTTTCACTATCATGTTCTAGCAAAATTAAGACCCTGTCTGATCTATAGTTAATAAGTCATATGTACAGTATACTCCTTTTCCATTTTGTTAATCTTGCGACACAGTGGTTTCCTGTCATTTTCAGACATTTCTGCAAACTGCATGTTGTACAACCTCATAACTTCACCCAGTTTAAAGTGATATGTTCTGAAAACATAAAGCTTCTCTACAGACCATATTATTTCTGTAGAGCTGAGATTGTGATGGTGCAGTGGAAGCCAAAAGGCTATATCTCCATGATTTTGCAGAAGCTGATTAAAAATGTATGTTATGTTTTGTTTTGTGGTTTAGCAAGCTTCACTGGCCAATATAGCCCTGGCTTAAGGACACAATTCAAGGTAGAGATATTTTTCTTCCTTAATCAGTTCATCTCACCCCCCTTTCTTGAATTTGTTGTAGGCCCATTGCCTTCTTCCATGCTGTGGTAGATTTTGCTGTATATGGCTATAACTGCATTATCAGGAAGATTTAGTATTTTTCTTTCATCTACTTGAAATAACTTTCTTTGTTCATGCGATCATGATAGTTAACTTGCTTCAAGCCAGCCTTCCACATTGACAAAGCATCTGATATAAAATCCATTTGCTCACCTGCATTTATAATTATTAATCAGTCACCTTTTCACATTGGAGCATTAAGTCCTTGTTCATGCTTCCAATGGCACATGAGATGATAGAATGTCATTGACATGTACTATAGGTCAGTTATGATAACAAACTATGTATTTCAAAAAAATTATACCTACGATGTCTCATTTTTTAATGTTTCTTTGATAATTCTATTCTCCCTCCCACATGAAGCCTAACTGCTTCAAAATTGTTCTTACCTTATTTTATGATCCTGTAAAATTTGTCTCCTTTAGAAGTCTTTGATGCAATTCATTGGAGATAGGCAGTTGCTTTTATAGTAAAGTAAAGCTATCCCTGTAACAGGCCGTGAAGACCCATAGGGTTGTGAGATGTTAAGGGTCCCATATTACCTTGACAATCGGCTCAAAGATGGCGGTAAGGTTGTCAGCCTTATGCGCCGGCCTCACTTCACTCCCCAGGAAAATTATTTAATTAATTCCTGGTAGGGCCTAGTGTGGCCGGAAGGAATAGGTCAATCGAAAAAAAATCCGATGACCTCATCGGGACTTGAACCTGTGACCTTCTGGCTTGTAGCATAGTACCTTAACCACTACACTACCGCGTATCCCAGTTACTTTTATAGTAACACAAAATTTATAACAGTCCTTTGAAATACTCATAGACAGAAGCCATCAAGATCTGTGATAGGCTTGATTCTATTAAATTATAAGGCAGTTTATTTCCCCTTTTATACCTTGCACTGTCACGTGTGACACACCAGGCACCAGCAGCTCCTACTTCACTTCTGTGAATTGCAATAAATGTTTGTCTTCTACAGTGCAGCATTTTCACTAAGTTCAGATTATCTCTTCATGAATTCATGAATGTTCTAAATTGCTTCCCTGCTTTGACTGCTAGGTTTCCTGCCTTTTCATTTCAACTGAAACTTACTACACTAACTTACTATACAGTCACATTAGAAATAACACACAGACAAAATAAATAAAAAAATACACTGATGTGAATGAGATGTAACTCTCTGAGTGGGATCAGATTTACTTGTTCAAGTTGAGCTGGCCATCTATTCACACGTTTAGAAACAGGAAACCAATTTTTATACCTCTAATCCTCATGCCTAAAATTACTGAGCCTAGGCTAAGCTCACAGACAAATGGTGGCAACTGTACTGATTTCCTGAAGATAACATGATATGATGCATCATACAGCATAATACATTTACTTCAAATACAAAAGAAATGAGGATAAAGAAACATAATCACAAATTTCACTGGAAACATACTATACTCACAACTATAGAATAAAATGGGAGGGAGGAAGAGTTGAAAGAATGATTTCTGAGAGAATCCATAAAGCATTAAACAATAAACAAAAGTTAAAAATCAACCCAGAAAGTCATGACAATAAGGAACACCTTTATATATAGATATATTCTGTTTTCTAATAGTGTATCAGCCCAAACAACACAGTACTAAGCATGATGATAAAACATGCTCATATTCATCCGGAGCATCCCGGGAATTTGTTAAAGATGTTTGCAGCTGATAGCATCAACTTGCCAACTGACCAAGAAACTCATATTCCAACTGAAGTTACCCTTTCACTCCTACCTTGCTGAAGATACAGTCATTCTGACAAACAACTAATTTCCTGTAAGATTTGAGAAGACTGCTTTCTTCAGCTAATTTCATATTTTAAATTTGTAAACAGTTCTGAACAGACGCATTGCTTACATTGTGTACTTGTAGTTTTGTATTAAAGCTGAGAGAATGCTGAGGCAAGTCTATTGTGAATTTGGCTTTGCTTCCAGTCACTCCTGTGCTGTTCACTTGGTCCATTTTATATTGAGCTTGCAAGGATGGCAACAAGGCTGCTGTAATGCTCAGACTCTGCAATATTATGAAGAATGTATTCAGTGACTAACATACACTATTATTTATGAATGTGCAACTACCAAAATGTTCAAGCTGGAACACTCAACCTCTGCCTTAGATGTAAGTTTGAACTTCACTTCATCCAAAAATTCTGATAATGGGTTCTCTCATTGAATAAATGCTGTGAGATGAAGCCTGAAAGCTGGAATAATCCATTGCTGAGCAATGGCTTGGAAAACAAACAAATAGCAACGAACAAGTTGTTGCTGGGTAGCAAGTTACTAAACAGAAGATTCCTGTTTCTTTTCAAGAAAAGTTATGGAGAACAATGTAACATATACATTGTGCCTTTTATACTTTTTTCTAAAGTCTTACGGTCTTTGAGACAAACAGCAGAGATGGAAATGCCAAAACTGTTACATTATTCATATACTTCTTGAATTATTTCTCATTAATACTGTTTATTTATTGGTAGTTTATTTAGCAATGATGTCANTATTCATATACTTCTTGAATTATTTCTCATTAATACTGTTTATTTAGCGATGATGTCAGTTTTATTTTTTTTATTGCTAGTGGGGTGGGACTAAGTCCCTTGTACTGTGGCCACTTCTGGCTTATTGTACCAGACCCAGATGATAGGTGAGGGTGATTGTGGAGAAATTGGTGGAATGAAGATTGGCAGGGGAAACCGAAGTACTAGGAGAAAACCTGCCCCAGTGCCACTTTGTCCACCGCAAATCCCACTTGACCAGACCCGGGATCGAACTTGGGCCACCGCAGTGGGAAGCCAGCAACTGCTTGAGCTATGGCGTGGCCTAATGATGTCAGTAACTCAGCCTACATGGTAGCAGTGCATCCAACAAATGTAAGTGATCACTTCTTAATGAAAATATTTTAGAATTCCTTGAGAAAATACATTCTGATGCCACATGCGCTATGACAGTGAACATGTTTCCTCACGCAATAACACAGATTGCAGACATGATGACATCACCAAAAAAATGAAACTTAAGAAACCATCACAGCACTTACTACTGTAGCAACAAGAAAATTAAAGTCGAGCGAAAACAGCAGACATTTACATACCTGTAACATAATAGAAAACTGCATGACAAGGGGCTGTAACAGGCCAGACTCTTGCTGCTGCCTGTGGAGATCAGACTGTGGAGCCTGCATTGAGTGGAAGTGCCGTGGAGAATGCTGCGCTATGAACTCTCCTTCCTCAGCAGTTGTTCCGCGGCTGATCCTGCTTGAAGTTCGAGTCACTCGCAATTCCTTACAAAAATATACAGTGGTTCTTTTAACTCTTATCTCGCCACCACAGCAAGTCTGAACATTATGACTGTTTTGTCCAGAGCCACTGACACGCCTTCAACAATGTGACTTTTGGAATTCTCCATTTAAATGTTGTTTGCAGGGGACAGCAGGTAGCAATAGAATGACAGAAGTTATGCACTGAGAGCATATTTAATTACATACCAATTTATACAACTTCATAATCTATGAGGCTACGAATGAAATTAAGAGAGGTTGGTCGCTTTTCTACAAAAAATAATTTTGAGTTGTGCATGAAGGCATGAATAATTTTGTATGAGTGGCAAGGGTTAATACTTTGTGAATGGTCTTTGATCTGTTCTTGGAATGGTATAAATATGAATCCAACAAGAATGAATTAAGTTACATATATATATAGAAGTAACGAACTATATACTGGCATTATTCATCACTTTCAGTTCTGCTGTTTTGTAGCTTAATCCTTAACAAAGTTAAAACATCATACAGATAATGTTGTATTTTAGCGTCCTGTTGCACTGATTCGCGTCCATGATGTGTATGTATTGACCGTCTTCTAGTGCATAAAATCTCACTTGTCACTTCACTACATGTTTCGGCATCACTGTGCCATCGTAAATAACACACCTGAAGACGGTCAATCATACAGATGTATGGGGGAGAGAGGGTATAGCTCCACACAATCTTAACCTCAGTACTAACAGATGGGGATGAGTGGTCAGCTTTATGTCCCAACTGCCTTATCCCATGGAAAGATTTCCTGGTGTCCACTGGACACGATGGTGAGTGAGATTCAGATCTAGTATTGAGATGATGAAGGAAAATTCTCTGCCTTTACCAAGAAGTAAATCATGTTCAGCTAGCTGAGCGCCATGTGATAATTCCAACAATCTTAGTATAGAAAATGTTGTAATGATTTATGATATGTTCAAATAAACTGATGCTGATGTACACTGTTCATCACGTTCTGAACAATTCTTATGAAGTCACATTCCAGTACAGTTTAAATTAATTTAAAAGTTCTGAAATTCAAATTGCATATGCTATGGTTATAAAACGAAAACATAAGGATTTCAGACAGTTATGAAATTTCCGTATAAATGAAGACACATAATTTACAAGAAATTTAAATTAAGTGATCTCCTAGAAGAACAATTCAGGGAAATTAACAGCACAGCAAAGAATCAACTCTCTTTTTGATACTACATTCAGAAAGGATATGGTGATGTTAAGAGTTCATGTCAGGGTATTTTCAATCCAGTGAGTATAAAAAGAGACAATCTTAGAGTTCAATTTGATCCTTGAAGTTGACATGGTCTTAAAATATAATATTGTATACTACATAATGCCAAGTATGGACCATAATATAGAATTTAGTTTACAAAATCAAGATCATAAAATATACCATGGCTGTTATTATTGGCCATTGCATACCAATACTGAATTTCTGGCATAAATTTGAATAAAGGGCTCAAATGCAACATTCCTTCAAAATTCTAAGTAGTGATGTTACATGCATACAAATGGATTATTAGAAATTACTGAATTTTATAAAATATACCTATAACAGGCATTACATCAGCATATCAAGATGATATACAGGGCAAATGTCAATGATAAATATTGATGGGAACAGTACCTGCAGTGTTGAAGAGAGCTGTTTACTTCCTCTAGTCATCATCCCATGCAGAGCAACTGGATGTTGAGGAATATCAATATTCACAGCTCCAACAGTTAGCAGTCCTGAGTTTTTATCCTTGGAACGTCTTGTAATACTTGAATATAAAACCTGTGATTTACCAACTGTCACCTTCACTACAGTCCTGAATAAACAATAATTAAAGTTTTAAAATCTAGGTAAGAGTACCCAAAATAACATTACACTGATCTGGGTTAACTTCATCATGTATCAAGGAAACTTCTGTACTAACAAACGGCATACTGCAGCCAAGTGCCCAGCATTCCTTCATACTGGCATAGTCCTGGGTTTGAATACAGGTCTCAAGACCACATTCACTGAGACATGACGTGGTTTTCCTAAATCCATCCAGCAAAATGCTGAGATTGTATTTTAAGACAGATCATGATCACTTATTTCTACATCTTTTGCAGTTCATTACACAGTCATTCTATCATCCGACACTATATAATCTATGCAGCTGAAAATGGCTCATTAAGTAACGCATCAAAACCTATACTCAGCGAGTCCCTTGTAACTACTATATGGTGCATTCTCAGGTTGTGGATGAAGGAGAAATCTTCAAAGATATGGAGTAACTGTGGTATATTGGAAAACCAGTCACGGACAGCTAGCAGGGGGTGGTCATTCAGCTTGGGGGTTGGGCAGGGAGCTAAAAACCTCTCACCATAAAAGAAACTAGCATGTTATAAAGTTCTATACTAGCCCTTGAATTTGAACTGTAATTTTACCTATTGCTCTGTACGGGTGTGAAACTTCATCTTACACTCTAGGAGAACACTGATACAGAGTGGTTGAGAACAGAGTGCTCAGTAAAACATTTGGACCTAAGACAGATGAAGTATTAAGAGTTGAAGGAAACTGCATAATAACAAGGTTCATGATTACTCTTCATCAAATGAAGATGATTTCATGTAAAAGAAAAAGAGAACTATTTTTGCAAAGCAGGCACAGTGATGATTTAGATCTTAAAATATACTATAATCAATATTGCAAGTATTATCAAGAGTGATCATAGTGGTAAAGAAATCATATCATAATAAAATTATTTTCAATTCCAATAATAAAATGAAAAGTATTTGGGAAATAATAAATGAGGACAAAGGGATATCAAAAAAGGATAAAGGTATTCATTCTACACGTACATTTGTAGATAAATTAATAAGGAATCAGAATAAAATTGCATATGTTTTCAACAAGTTCTTCTTATCTATAGCTGATTCTATTATTTCAAATAATAATATATATCCAAATCTGAAGCTATCTACTCCAACCGATTACTTAGTAGATTTTTTACCAAGATGAAATGGCAGTACGCCTCCTCTCAGGAAATCGCAAAAATTATTAAGACACTAAAGACTAAAAATTCGAGTGGATATGGTGAAATCTCCAATATAATATTAAAAGTATGCCTTCCATTTATAATTTCCACATTTACTCATATTTGTAATGCAATACTTAACACCGGTGTCTTTCCTGCTAGATTGAAATTTGCTGTAGTCAGACCACTATTTAAAAAAGGGAAAACTCATGATGTATCTAACTATAGGCCTATATCCCTGCTAACTTCCTTTTCTAAGATAACTGAAAACTTATACTTATACTTACTACACATATTGAAACAAATCATTTATTGGTGCAAGAACAGTATGGTTTTAGATCACATTTTTTGACAGAGAAAGAGGCTTTTTGATTGAGTGATAGCATCTTATCTGCGACAAATAACAAACTATTGGTGGGAGGCATTTTCTGTGATTCACAGAAAGCATTTGATTATTTAATCACAAAACATTATTGGAAAAATTAATATTCTATGAAATAGACGAGAAATTTAAATCACTCATTGAATCTTACTTGTCAGGTAGATATCAAAAAGTTGTAATAGGGAACAAAATTGATTGTAGCAACTCTTCTGATTGGGAATTAATCAGATGCAGTGTTCCTCAAGGCTCAGTCCTTGGCCCGCTGTTTTTTGTTTTATATAAATGACTAACCAAAAATAATTAATAAAAATAATAACATGGTATTATTTGCAGATGACACCAGTATTATAGTAACTGACACGAACAAATTAGACTTTGATATAATTTAATTTTAATTTAATTTAATTAATAATAAATTTTGAGGCTTATTCATTGATGATACTCTCACATGGAAACAGCATATTGATTATGTTATCAATAAAATTTCCAGGGCATGATATGCATTGAGAAATATAAAATACTTTATCCCTTCAGATATATTAAAGTTAATTTATTTTGCCCACATTCATTCTATCTTGAGCTATGGTATAATTTTGGGGGGAAGCTCTTCCTGCACTAACAATGTTTTCATACTGCAAAAGAGGGCTATTAGAATTATTATGAATTCTGGTCCAAGTGAGTCTTGTAGGGATTTATTTAAGAACCTGGAGATCATGACATTTTATTCTCAGTTCATATACTCATTAATTGTATTTACAATTAATAATAAACATCTTTTCAATTCTGTTAATGAGATTCACAAATATAAAACTAGATCCCTAAATAATCTCTACTTACCTACTGTCAACCTATCCAAATACAGGAAAGGTGCGTATGTAGCAGGCATTAAAGCCTTTAATCACATATCTCAAGCAATAAAAATGTTGGCTTCTGATCTGTTGAACTTTAAAGCAGCAGTGAAGAGATTTTTATTTTATCACTCTTTTTACTCTATGAAGGAATACTATCAGCATAATTGGTAATAGTATATTATAACAGAGCTAGCTCAGTAATTATTTGTAATATATTCTTAGTTCATATATGGATATGAAGGAATATTATCAGCATAACTGGTCATAATATGTAAATTATAACAGAGCTAGCTCAGTAATTATCACACACAAGGTGTGATTTCCAGCAGGGTAAAAGAATGATGCATTTAAATTCTCATCAGATAACAATATCATGACAGATTCAATCAGACACTGATGTTGACTGGATTTATACAGCTCAAGGCAGGTTCATGTGACATGGTTCCTTGTGGAACCAAAAGGCAGAATATGTTTTGAGAGCAAATAATAACTCTCAAGGGTACCTGATCCATGAAGTTAATGAAAAATCCAAGAGTCAATCTCATTGATAACATAAATTTCCAGGATGGAACTAAGCAACAAGTTTCTGCTGGCATTACATCACTTTGTGTTACAGTACTTTGGACCAAAGCACTCAATAAGATATTACCATCATTTGTTCTATCATATCTGCATATGATTCTGGCATACTCACTGCTGACTGGGTGCAACTCCTTCCAGAAGGACAATCATAGTTCGTCCAACATGTCCTGTGAGTGAACATTCCAGACTTGCAGGTCTGGACTTCTTGCGACAAGTAAGACTAGAGTGGAGACTTGTAATTTCTGCCTCCAGTTTGAGTCCACTTAATGTTGCTAGCAGCCTTGTTCGATGAATTCGAGCCACACCAAACACAATGAGACGTGTACGTTCTCCTGTCACCACACCTGTCACAGTGCAAAATACAAATACACATGACACTAGTTTGTCTTCTGCATAATGATTTAAGGCATTTGAATTCAGTGAATGGTTTTAATGAACATAATAATATATTCTCACTTTTATGCTAAGTAAATCATACTTTCAAGGTATAACAAACTGCGGATAAAACATCCTGATACCAACTGATACAGTTCATTACTGTATTAATGTATTCCCCACTGGGTAAAATGTAGTATTTCCATCATATACAATGAATGTCCAGAGGATATTTGGTAGAAGAAGCACAAAGTTCAAAGGATTCTATAGTGAAATTAGCAACTTTCAAGGGAATGTAATGACTGAATCCCAGCATGCCCTTCCACAAAGTCAGCTGATTTTAAAGTAATAAAATATTCCATACAGTTCTTGTGTGAGACTTTAAATGAATATAGGAGGGGGAGTCAGTAAATAGGTCACAAATGAGTACAAGAAGTAAAACATGTGACATTCAAACCTGGAAAAAACACTTATTTCTTGATAAATTCTCCACCAACACTGATATACTTGTCCCATAGCTTTACCAGTGTGTCAAACCCTGCAGCACTTAAGTTTCTTGACTGTTGTCTCAGCCACCTCCAACCTCCAGTTCAACTTTATTGTCACCAGTGAAACATTTGCCACCAAGGTGGTTTTTAGCAGACCAAACAAATGGAAGTCACTAGGGGCCAAGCCCAGGCTGTAAGAAGTTCACACTGTAGTTCTTGAATTCTCTCCTGGGTTGCTTAGGCTGTATGGGATCTAGCATTGTCATGATGAAGCAGTACCCTTCTTGCCAGTTGTCCTGAATATTTTCTGTGAATTACTCCCTGAAGCTTCAACAGAACTTCACAGTACAATGCAGAATTCACATTTTCACCACTTCAGAAAATTGATTAACAGTACACCCTCAGAATCCCAAAACATGGTAAGAATAACCTTCTCAGATGATGGTATACTCATACACTTAAACTTTTTGGCTGAAGGTAAACTGGGATGTTTCCATTGCATTGAAGTACATTTTGATTTGGGCCGGTAGTGATGAACCATGATTTGTCCCCAGTAACAACCCTGTTAAGTATATCTTATCCTTCATATGCATACCATAAGGGATGTTGCAAGGACAAACATATTTGATTCATTTTTTCTTGGTCTTTCAGTTCTCTGGACACCCAACCATGCTTAAACTTTCTGAAACTTCAAAGGATGCTGCATTATGTTGTATGCTAGACCATGGGAACACTCTAGTGCAGTTGCTACACTGTCTATCATTATCATCCTATCAGCTCGAATCAACTTTTCCACCAGATGCACAGATGCTCCTGTCACAATCTCAACAGGGCGACCTGGTCAGGCATCATCTGTGACTTTTGAACGTCCTTGAGACAACTTACTGACCCAGCTGTGAACCACATTACATGAAAAACACTTCTCAACATAAACAGGAAACATTTCTTTATGAATATCTTTTGCACAGAGTCCTTTTGCCCACAGAAAATGCATAAAAGCAAACTGATCTTCAGCAGTACACTCCTCTAGCATGACTGCCATTTTGATTACTGAAACCAGCCTCTGAGCATGTGCATCTGCTTCCTAGCTTGTCATGGTCCGTACTGTGCTGTTACCTAGAGATACACACAGAAAAATTAGTAGTACAGCCATTACAGCTGTCTTACTCACACTTGTGACCTATTTACTGACTCCCTCATACTAACACGTACAGTAGAAACCACAACCTCTGAAGGTCTACTGATGCTTTAGCTAATTTGGCCTTTCTCTAAGAATTGGTAGAACAATGACAATATTTCTGTGAGCCTGTAGCCAGTGAGTGTACACTTGAGATGCTGTCAATAATACTATTTGAAGGCCATGAGTATACTCACTCTCCCAGCTTGAGGAGTCAATTTTATGTTCAATTTCAGCTTTCTGTAATTAGCACTACAGAACTTACTTAGTTCCCTGGGCTTATCATGTGGTTGTGGAGTGGAGCCTGCAGTGGCCTCAGGGACAGTAGCACCTCCTTTTTCCACATCTTCATTGTTCTTAACTTCAGTGAGCAAGTCATACTTTCTGTTACCCTTGTAGCCTTCTGAAATGTCAGCAGCTACAGAAAACCTGTCCACATACACATGGACACAAGAATAGAGTGACATTTCAGAATCATTAAGTCTAAAACAAATATTTGATTCACAGAGAAGGATTTTCAGGGATATGACACCTTGTTCTATTGGGTGCAACACCCAAGGCCTCAGAGGAACCTAATGTTATCTTAAATGTAAAAGTGACATGACTTGAACTTACTACCTCAGCATTCAAGGCAGAAGTGATCTTACTTAAACATACTGACTCCATCTTCAAAATAGGAGTGAACTTCATTTGAAAGAATTGCTGCCACTTTACAGAATAAACTTATGCACCAGTCACTTGTTTCTCCTAACAGGATTTCTTTCCTGCTGTGCAAGTCACATAAATTTTACTACACTTCATGGCTGTTTCACATATCAGATTATTTAGTTTCTTCGTTAATTATAGATTAATTAGTTTCTTGCTTTCTTAATGATATAGTCAACTGCAGTCACAATGTAAAATCAAACTGCTTCCAATAAAACCTGATGATCTGAAGTTCAATGGAACAAATTACATTTGTTTTGATTTATTTGTGTGGTCAAGTCTCTGAATCACCTGTCTAAAAGATGAGCAGTTCTGAGTAGAATTCACAAAGATTACTTTTGTATTATATTAACCTCTAGTCTCATAAACTGTGTTGTTAATTTCATATTTCAATAACATGCATTTATAATATAACAATGAAATCCAATTTAGCTCTTAGGCTAGTGGGCTGGACTTAGATGTGGCCTGCTATTAGCTATATGGGAGGTTAACACATTAGACATCTTGAGAGACAAATAAAAAATAATTTTAATAAATTCAACAGGGATAAAGGGAAAGAGAATTTAAAAGAAATAGAAACTGTTTACTTTTCTGAGCATTATAGTGGCTAGAACAACAGATTTCCATATATAAAGAACTGTCTCTCACATTATATCATAAACACTATTTGGTGTCACTGAACAGGTTTGTCTAGAGGTAATGTTCTAGACTTGTCTTTGGGAGGCAATCGATTTCAATCTTGGCCAGAGCACCAGCTATTCTGATGAAGGGGTTTCATGGTTTTCCCCAGTTCCTCCATATAAATGCCAGGGCTGTACCTTCATAAGGCCATGACTACTTCCTTCTAAGTCCTTTCTAATTTATCATTCATCTATTACCTTGTCATCTGATGCCATACAGTCTTGATATTCAAATGGCTTTGTTAAACAACCCATGAAGAGGGGGGGGGGATGGGATACAGCATGTTGCAAGCTGGGTATTAAACATTTAACAAAACCTGTCAGAGAGCTAGTATATTCGCTTAAAAAAAAGTATGCAGCACAGTAATAATAGCTGCAAAGTGGATCCTTGGTAGAGGAAGGCATGCGCCAAGCTATCTGGGGTGAATGTTGCTCTTTTTATACTTAATACTTTACCTGTGAGTGATAGTTTTTGTTTCTGGCATTGTAGCATATAGATCAAGAAGATAGTATACAGTTTTCCAGCAGCGTGGTGTCAGACTGAGTACATCTTTACTTTTATCTGAGGCAACAGTGGTGTGTTCAAGACCTGAACCAGATGGACTCGCAACCAACATTGGTGTTGTTCCTCCTTCAGATAAATTCATGTAACCTAAAAGCAGAAAATGTTGCAGTAGAATTCTGAGAAAAAAGAAAGCACTTTATGATACCAGACTGATTATCAGAGCATTTAGAGAAACAACTTTTGTACCACAATAAACCCATATATTCTAGAACTAAGCAATCTACATAACTAAAGCAGAATCTTCCATAAACTAACATGATAACAAAACAAAAATTTTGAATTATAGATGTTTTGAGCATTCATTTTCCACTGTGAACATACCAATTTGGTACTGTATTTCATGCTTAAAATGTTAATAACATAAAATGCCAAATAACAGAAAAACTATTCCTGTCATGGTTAGGAAACTGTAAATGATTTAAAATTAGAAATTAATCAAATTTAAAATTATTCATATAAAAGACCACCAAAAATGTAAATTTCTAGATGGTGAATGTTACCAACTTCAAATCATATGATAGCTTAAGATACCTAGTACAAAAGTAACGAAGTTTTATAACACTGAAATCAGTACAAGCTTAGACGGTACCTTTTACACTCTTGCTAGTAGATCTAAGTTTCTGTGCAAAACTCTGTGGACGAGAGTGAAGAGATGGTGATGGTGACAAAATCTTCTGTTGACTCAACGAGTGAGAAAAGCGCGAGTCAACCCCAGCCCCATTTCCAGCAGGTAATTTTATTTTGTCAACTACAGACACATTCTCATGTAGATCTGATGCTGTAAACAGAGAAAATCCTAGATGGGTGAAATTAAATTCAGTGCACTTTGTCCTGTTTACTTCACACATTACATTATGATTTCATACATTATAAACTTTTACTTAGAACACAAATTAGCTGATAAGTGTCTTAGTTCATGAACTTTCTAAATGTATTTGATTGCCAACTTCAGATAAAAAAGGATACAGAACTACAATATAAAGTTACTGTTTCATTTCTGCAAATTACAGAATATTTCACTTGTTAAACTGTGCCATATATTATTCCAATTACGAACTTTTTGGCCCTCCTGGCCTTTCTAAACTAATGAAGTGAAAAGATCCATTTCTGAGATAAAAATCTGCACTTATTGAATTGAATTGAATTTATTTACATTCTATAAATCCTAAGCAGGTTAGTACCTTTGGGTACAGAACAAGTCAAAAGGTTACATACATAAGTACAGGCAATTTTAGCTTAAAAATTAATATAACTTAATTTTACATCATTCTCTATTTACATTGAAGTATTCATCTAAAGAGTAGAAGGAATGAGCATGTAGATAATTCTTTAACTCTGATTTAAACTTTTTAGTATCATTGCCCAAGTTTTTAATACTTTGTGGCAGATTGTTGAACACTTTTATGCCAGTAAAGTAGACTCCTTTTTGATATACTGATAAAGTTGATGAGGGTAGGTGGAAGTTATATTTTTGTCTAGTATTCATGTTATAGACATCAGAATTTAATTTGAATTTATCTTTGTTGTAAACAACAAATAGGAGAAGCGATAATATGTATTGCGATTGAAGCGGTAGAATTTTTAATTTCTTAAATAATTCTCTACATGAATCTCTACTTCTACATCCTGTAATGATTCTTATTATATTCTTTTGTATTTTAAAAATTATTACACTATGTGAAGAGTTCCCCCAAAATATGAATCCATAGTTCATAATAGAATGAAAGTAGGCATGGTAGCTGTGATCAAGACAGGGATCTTATGAATGAGAATCTGTAATTTTACTCCAAGACCACTTTATTTATTAAAGAAAACGAATAAAATGTATCCTTAGAATTACATAAATAGATCAGTGACTAATACATTTGAAAGAGTCTCATTTGATAGAAACTCATTTCTGATATCAGGCATATGCAGGAGATAAAAGATAACATGTTGCTCCACCTCCGTCTTCTGGCTTACTCTTCTATCCTGACAGTGAAAGTGAAATGTTCTTCTGAAATATTTGGCTTTTTCCAAACTACATAGTGTTACAGCAGAGAAGAACATACTCTTCAGGAAGGGAGATGTTTGAAATAATGAATTATCTTACTTGATGAGGAACCATTCTTGTTATTTTTTACAGAACTCTCCCTCTTGACTTCTGGTTGCTGTTCTTTCAGTTCCATTTGTGTCTCTTTAACATTCTGGTACATGTTGCTTATCTGATGCAGGAGACGTAGTAGTGGCATGTTCACCTGCAACAACAAAACATGGCTGTGCTAATTTCAACAAGTGCTACTTCAAGAAGTATATACGAGGGTTGGAACTTTAATAGTGGCAACACTGCTGTAGAGATGCCATGCAACGGAACCAAATAATGTCACTTATACCACACGTTAGTTACATACCTACCTTACCTCAGAGGAAATGGACTCTCCCTTCCCACATCATGCGCATGCGCAGTGACAAGAAGATCAGAGCCTCATGTTAGCTGGCGGTCTAATGTAGTGTTATCATGATGTTTTTGAAACAGGAACAACGGAGTTGGATGAAGATTGAATGTGCCAGAGGCCATACACCACAACAGTGTCATCAAGGTCTTCAAGAGGCTTGTGGGGAATATGCATTGCCTTACAGAACAGTGGCAAGGTGGGTAAAAGCCTTCAACAAGGGACGCCAAAATGTAGCAGACATGCGTTGGCCAGGCCATCCTAGTGTCAATGAAGAAGATGTGTATGCTTTTTCCGCGTTACTGGAGAGTGATCGACGCCATACGATTCGTGAGCTGGCCCAAGAGACAGGATTAGCGCATATGACTGTGCTTCACTCTGAAGGAACGCCTGGGCATAAGAAAAATTGCATCACGATGGGTTCCGCATGATTTAACAGAAATGCAGAAATGGCTATGATACGACGCTGCTCATATCCGCTTGGAGCGCTATGAGCGTGAAGGAGAGGCTTTCTTATGCCGTATCATTATGCTGGATGAGACATGGGCCAAATCGTACAAGCCACAAATGAAATGCCAATCGAACGAATGGCATCATTACGGGTCACCACGAAAATCAAAAGTTCGTCAGAACCCCAGCAATGTGAAATTTATGGTGATTCTCATGTACAACTGTGATGGTGTTATCCTAAAGCATACCTTTCTCTGACAGCAGACAATGCGCAGTATTACTGTTCATTTTTGGAACACAACCTACGACCAGCTTTGAGCAAAAAGCGGTGACACTTTCTGCAGAACACACCCATCATTTTGCAGGACAATGCTCGGCCGCATGCAGCGCAAGCTGTGGCTGATTTGTTCGATCGATGGGGCTAGGAAGTGCTGTACCATCCACCATACTCCCCAGACGTAAGCCCTTGTGACTTTGACTTGATTCGTATGATGAAGGAAATATTTTGTGGCATTCGCTTCAGAACTGTTCCAGAGGTTCTTCAGGCAGGAGACCGCTCCATTCAAACTATCAACACAACAGGTGCTGCTAAAGGTATCCTACGACTTACACAGCGCTGGCAACGGGTTGTACACAATACTGGTGAATACATTGAAGGACAGTAAAACTTCGAAACATGCATCTATTTTGTATCAGTTGTAAATAAATAGTTGCCACTATTAAAGTTACAACCCTTGTAGAAATCTATTCTCCATTTAAGAAACACTGACAAGAATTGGAATTTTGATGTGCTTCCAAGGAATAGGTTATAACTGGTGCATGAAATGGGTGTAAGACCTTTACAATGGTCATTCATCTTGTTCCATTTTAAGCTTGAAACGTCTGTGTACACATAATAACATATATATTTCACCAAAATTTTATGAGTAAAAATTTGTGAGGTCCACACATAAAGTGATCAACCAACAACTTAGTGAAAAATGTTCTATTATATTAAGAATTTCCAACTGTTTATGAAGGATGCTTAAACATGCATAATGATCCATGGATATGAAGTAAATAAATAAATAAACAGCCATTAATATTGTCTACTGTTACTGAAGTCACATGGGCAAGTTTAATAGCTGCTCAAGTGGTCAAGAAATTTCCTCCATTTATGAACCTCAAAGTTTAGTACTGTCCATGTCATTTTTCTTCAGCTCTAATTCATGGGGTTGTGGGCAGAGAAGTGGTGGCTGCTAAGCTGTTGTGTGCAAGGGGTACTCTGTTCTGTGATCCAAAAGAAGAAATGCTTTATATATGGATAAATACCGTCTTAAGTGCAACAAATTTTATTGTAGTTTTTACTTCTTTTCCTTTTATTTTCNGTTTAGTACTGTCCATGTCATTTTTCTTCAGCTCTAATTCATGGGGTTGTGGGCAGAGAAGTGGTGGCTGCTAAGCTGTTGTGTGCAAGGGGTACTCTGTTCTGTGATCCAAAAGAAGAAATGCTTTGTTAAAAAAGAGGTCTATCTTGTGGAATATAAGGCCCAGAAGGCAGAATTCTTCAAAACCACTGTTGTGAAAACCTCAAATCCTACATGCTTTGTTAAAGTCTGTAGACTATGGAGCCCATGGTCAGTTTTCTGTTAAATGGATACCTGCCACACTGTCCTGAGTCCTTTCCACAGCAGAGCTGGGGAATGCAGGGAAACCTGATGAAAACAATTCTATGTTCTCAGAAGTCTATCCTGGACTCTAATCTAAGACAGATCAAATAAAATTACATCTTTATATCATATTTATCTGACAATAATTTTAATATTACCTTGCCATCTACATTTAGGCCTCCAAAATGGACCATTCTCTTCACGTTTTCTGACCAAAATTTTGTATGCATCTCTCATCTCAGCCATGCTTGCATGGCCTGCCCTCTCATTCTGCTTGTACCCTTGTATCATTAGTACCCTAATGATATTAGTTGAAAAATACAGATTATGAAGCTCCAAATTATGGTTTTCTTATGCACAAATATTGCTCTCAGGGCCTCATCTTCATACATTAATCTGTGTTCTCCCCTTCTGTGAGATCAATGATAACAAAAACAACACAAAACTCAGAGCATAAATCATGAAGTTGATATTCCTGTTGCAGAGATGTCTAGTCCTATAGATTTATCACACTCCTTGGTTTATTTTTTAAAGGAATTATTACTTAAGCATAAATTTTTCCTATGTTAAATTTGCCTGATACAACCCTGATTCCTTCTAAGTTACATCTGTTGGATATAGCCTCAAATGTTATACTATCAACATATTTGTAATTATTGACTTACAAACAATATTTCATACATACTGTGTAGATATCTTTACAATGTATCTCCATACAAAACACTCTGCATTGCTAGCTCCAATGGTTCATTAGTATTTCCATTAAAAAAAAGCTAAAGAAAATTTTTAAACGACTCCCACACTATACAAAAATATTACCTTATCAAAGTTACATTTCTTCAAAGCTTTATTACCATACATAATTTCAGGGACCCAGATTAACTTGCACTAGTGTTATCCTCATCCAACATGATCATGTTTCCACCAAGTTATTACTGACTGTAGGAAATCAAAACATATAATATTGTGGTGGTCTCCAACGGAATAATGTTTATATCAAGATCAATGAAAATCAGTTAACTGTTCCAAAACTTGAAAGGAGGGGATGACAAACACATCTGGAGTACAGTGATCTCATAAGCCGATTTTTATCTAAGGAAGGAAAGTAGGCTAAAAATGGCTCTAGTCAACTATCCTTCATGTACCGTACATACAAAACAATGTTTCCTTCAAGAAAAAAAATGTCATACTCTTAAAGTGAACATTATACTGAATTCTATCATGCAAAGTTCACACTTAACATACCAGCATGAAATATTTACTTACTCAGTTGAGCAGACACCCAGGAATCTTCACCTCTGATATAGGAAACAGAAAGAGTTGCCAGTTTCACTAATGTGTACAGAATATTACTCAATGAATCTCCTTTACCTGCTGTGAAATATAGCGCACATTCAAGCTGATATTCAGTATAGTGCTGGTGTGTTTCTTTAACTGGCCACGTGAGATGTATAAAACATTCTGTTTCTGAATCATATCATCAACTGTCATATCCGCCATCTTTTTCAAGTCCACTTCAACTCCCATCTTCTCACAGAGAAATGCTGGTGTCTCAGGGGGAATATCTAAGTAGAATTTTCCTCCTCCTATAATAAATATTACAATTAAGTACAATGGTCACATCCTAGGTCCTGCTGTTGTCAGGGAGAAAATTTTCTACTTTGTGAGATCCTTAGAGAGGTATGTTCTACCAGTAAGCTTAGTGATACTTTATGACTGTTCCAACACATACAATTTCTGCGGCAGCCAGGTTCATCCCTTTGTGAGGATGAATGGAATTTTATAAATGTCTTTTCATAATGGACATATGGAACACTAAATAAAAGTTGCCATATTATGAAGCCCCTGTATCTAAACACCATAAAATGTGAAGCTATAGAGGGAGTAGAGGGAAAGCTCAATGTGGACTCCGTCAGGTGAGTGGCCAACTCACAGCCCAACTGCTTCTCCCCCCAAATCATTTGATAAGAGAATAGGTGGGTCCGAGAGTCAGCCAGGATTTTGTGGTGAAGGAAAAAACTCCATGCCCCTACTGCAAATAGAAATGCAATCTAACAGACTGAGCAATCCCTGTCATTAAGTCCTTAACGTGCTGAGTGAAGAAGAAAAAGTCCTCTTCTAACCCTTTGCATCCCAGATGCAGAAGCCTGCAACCTTTATATGGGAAACGGCCAAAGGTCAGAAACTACTGTTCTACATTATATAATTCTGAAATGAGGATATGAAAATCACATAAAATTTCTGTACCATAATCTGAATTAGCATGATTTTCTTAAGCGGTGACATGGATCAAAGCCATCACAGGGAAGCGAGTTTCTTGTCACCAAACCAGAATGAATAATGATTACATAAGCCAGTACAAATTTTGGCCGCACCACAGCTCAAGCGGTCAGTTGCTGGCTTCCCACCGCTGCGGCCCTGGTTCGATCCAGTCTGGTCAAGAGGGATTTGTGTGGACAAAGTGGTGCTGGGGCAGGTTTTCTCCGAGTACTTCAGTTTCCCCTGCCAATCTTCATTCCACCAATTGCTCCACAGTTACCCTCACCTATCATCTGGGGCTGGTATAATAGGCCAGAAGTGGCTGTAGTACAAGGGACTTAGTCCCACGCCACCAGCAGTACAAGTTTTCAGTCATACTGTTAAATTCAGAGAAAAAGCTCTGAAGATGGAGGCGCTACGTTCCTCCGAAACGTCGGCCAAAACGAAGAATACACGGTGCCTAAACCCAGAAGACAACTTTCTTCATTGTCATCGCCGTGAAAACCTCAAAACTTAAAAAGTATTTAACATTACCAAGGTTCTTAGATCCTTTGTTTCCTCCTGCAGATGATGATTTGCCTTTCTTTTTATCACTGGTTTTACCAAATTCACTGACAACAATATCAATTCTCATTGTCTCAATGGCACTAACCAGTGACAAGTTGGATCCCCAAGTGTCAAATGATGAAATATTGCCACTTCCTGGACCTGTAATAATGGATGGCAAAAAGAGTGTTATCAGTCCTTGCATTTATGTCGTGATCTGTGAGGATATATATTCATACATATTTACAAACTAGACATGGAGAAAATTTAATGGTGACTAGACAACATAATTAGTTTTCCTGTTATTAAATGTTATGTTTATTAATACACATCATAAATTCCCAATAAAACAACAATTCTGTGAACTCCAAACCCTACCAGGACTGAAGGTGGTATATTAAACTGGAGTTACAAATAAAAGGAGTTGTACATTGAATTGGAATTACTAATAAAAGGAGTTAATGCATGCCATGCAGATAATGTTTCGCATATAATTAAGAAACAAAGCAAAATATAATCTGAAATCAGATCAGGCAAGAACTGATGGTAAAACACTATAAGAGAGCCTGCTAAAATTAAGGACACATTGCAATGGATGAGTTACATATGGGTAATAATAAAATTCCTTTAAGAGTATAAACAAGCTACCTTAACAATTTTGGAATGTTCACTCTGTTCATATTCATATTCATATTCATATTTTTATTGGTTCCAGAAAACCACATTTTGCAATACAGCCTCCAGATATAGAACAAGTCAAATTATTTGTATAAAAATCAACAATACTATAATATTTAACTACATACACAAATTGTGTACATGTCCAACATACCATATAAAACTACATTAAAAATTTAAGACAATATAAATTCCCCAGCAGAGTAACCAATTCAATCCAGTTCACATCAATCAATCAATCAATCAACCAATCCATTCTTCCTTCCTCGTCAAATCACTGTCACAGGAAAACGTTCCATACACATTAAACATACAACATTTCAATTTCTATAATTAAAAATAAATACCCCCCTTTCACAAACATACCATCTTTAATTTAACATATATTCCTCTACAGAATAAAACGTATGTTGTACCAAATATGACCTCATTACTTTTTTAAACTGTCTCATTTTTTCTATCTCCCTAATTTTATTTGGTATTTTATTGTATAATTTTATTCCCATGTTCAGTACTCCTTTCTTATAGGCATTTGTTCTGCAAAGCTGAGCATGGAGATTAACTTCTGGCATATATTGTGATTATGAACTAAGTTATTTTGTTCTTACTTTTCTAAATGTAGTTTAACATGGCATACTATTCCAAATATATACATACAAGGTAGTGGAAGTAAGTTTAAATTCTTAAAAAGTTGTCTACATGATGCTAATCTACTGACACCACTAATTATTCTAAAAATTCGTTTCTGCAATTTAAATATAATTTTACTTTTTGGGTTACTACCCCAGAAAATTAAACCATACTTCAAATAAGCATGGAAGTGAGCAAAGTAAATACTCCTTATAACCTGTCGGCTTGTTACATCCCTAAGGGATTTTATCATGTAACAGACTTTATGAAGTTTTGAGCTTAAGAACATCATATGTGCTTTCCACTCCATATGCTCGCCAACATACATGTATATACCTAGAAATTTCGTTTCACATTTATAGGAGATCTCCATTTTGCCAAATTTGATTTGAGGTTTCATCAAATCTCTTTCTTGTCTATTATGAAATGCCATTGCTATTGTTTTCTGAGTATTCAATATAAGATTATTTGCATTGAACCATCCATATAACTCATTTGTGACTTTATTTATCTTTTGCTGCAGGATATGTCCCTATTCAGCTGTTACCAAAATATTTATATCACTTGCAAAAAAAACCATCCTCGCCTCTTTGATATTCAAAGGCAGATCATTTATCTATAATAAAAATAATAATGGTCCAAGCACCGAACCCTGTGGTACTCCATATTCAGTTTCTCTTGGAGCCTATGTATATTTTTTGCCATCACAACTTACTTCAACAACTTGCTTCCGGTAAGCCAAATATGATTTAAACCATAAGTTTGCCACACCTCTAACTCCATATGTTTGTAGTTTAGAAAGTAAGATGTCATGATTTATGGCATACGCTTTAGTTAAATCACAAAAAAATTCTGACCTGTTTTTTCTTTTTTCTTTTTTCTCAGCTGATTCATGTATGTTTGCTAGAAGAGAGTAAATTGCAGTCTCAGTTGGCCTATTCATCCTAAATGCATGTTGGGCCTCTGTTAATATGGTATTTCTTGTCAAAAAGGAGAGTAACCTATTATGCATCAACTTTTCCAAGATTTTCAAGAAAGCACACAAAAGGGATATTGGTCTATAGTTTTTCATATCCTTCTTGTCTCCCTTTTTATGAAGGGGTTTCACCTTTGCTATCTTAAATCTCTCTGGGAAAATACCTGCTTCTAGAGAGGCATTATAAATGTGGGCTAATGGCGTTTTAACCGCTTATATATATTTTTTAACCACATAATCTGGTATTTCATCGGTATCTGCTGAAAATTTCCCCCTAAATTTCATCACCACTTCTAATATCTCATTTTCTGTCACTGGACAAATAAACATGGTCTCATTACAGGTATTTATTCTCTGTGGTGCTCTACAGCACATCATCATACTATTATTTTGCTTGATAAGCTTTCCTACTATGTCAGTGAAATATAAATTAAACATTTCAGCTATACGCTGTGGATTAGCGTCTTTCCTTGTCCCACACTTTAGTTACTGCCTCTATATTTGCAAAGTGATTGCTAACCTTTAATGTTCTATTGTAAATAGCCTAGAACAAGCAGGGATGATAAAAAGACAGGCACCAAGAGAAATACAGACAAAATAATAATGACATATTACTGACACATGTGCACACATGCATGCATGCACATACAATAATGATGACACATTACTGATGTCCATGCATGCATGTGTGCACACACAAAACTTTTGCATATTTCAGTTGTGAATGTGTCTAAAAATTACTTGGCAAACAGTTACAATTTATAACTGAAGGGGAATATATAAACAGTGTTCACATTCAGATGATTAGTGCACTGGACAATGCTTTGGCTTCCCATGTATGAAACTAGATTCAAATTTTCTAAGGTGTATCTATTATTTTACTTATTTATTTGTAGCACTATTATTACGCATAACATACAATAACATTAAGTTTTCTCAGCATGAGACAATGCATGAGATGAATGTTATGCAAGAAAAAGGGCTTCGTGTTCTCTTGGGTTAAACCTGCAATGTGGCAATAGGTTTTGAAAAATCCCCTATATCTATTGACTCATTTTTACTAACTTGCTAAACATTCCTGTTGATCCAGAGTCTGGTGCACAGCATTTCACATTTGTTGCAATAACCATCTATTCATGTGGGATTTATTTTGAAATAGACTTACCTGCAGAGCCACTGAGATTACTGATCATCTGTTGGGGCATGACACCAAGGCAGGAGAGCAGAGGCTCAAATATTAGATGTGCATCAAGAAGTCTTAATGAATCATGCATAGGATACAGACTGTAACCTCCTGGAGTCATCTGTAAGTATTCAGTATCTTCCAAGGTATCTTCAGTGGTTAGTGTGTCGATCTTTGATTCCTGCAGAAAATAGGACATAACATGAAATTTTTGGAAAACTTATGAGGCCTACTTCCTTCCAACTGCTTCAAGCTGCAGTGAGGTTAACAAGAACTATAAATTAATAACTAGACAATCCGGAAATCCATTCCTGTGCATAATTTCTATCAGCTCAGGTTTCCATTATGTTATATTTCAATGAGACGCCCTCAGAATCTCACACTGTCACCAAAATTGTAATTGTAAAGATATAAAAATAATGCTTAACATGGAATTTACATGCATTTTTCTGATTTATCTCCTTGCAAAAATTTCACATTTCTAGTGTCAATGTTTCATATGAAGGTTGTTTGATAAGTAAGGTTCCCTAGGTCATGCAAATTAAATGAAATGCAATTGTAATGTCAAATATAGCTCATTTATTCCACTGGAGCATTATTTTTCACATAATCCCCATGAATGTGGATGCTTTTGACCCATCTCAGAATGAGTTTAGGCATTCTGTCGCAGTAGAAATCAAGCTCTTGCATTCACAATAATTCACCAACAGAAACTTCCACTTCTCCATTACTGTGGAATTGATGACCTCCAAAGAATTGCTATTTGTGGCATGATACTCCTACTCCTACCACTACCAAGTGATACTACCTACCAAAAACAGAATGCTTGATTAACACAAATGTTAGTTGCTAGGAATCCTTATTTATTGAACATCCCTCATATTCATTATCACCATCAAACCAAACACTAAACAAAATTTTAACATGGTAACCATGTTGTTGTACATTAAAACATAAAAGAAACCTCAATGCACACTTACACACTTACCCAGTTTCTTTTTAAGTTAGTCTTGGAAACTTCTGAGTCTTTCATGAAGTCTTGTTGTTTGGCCATCCAGCTGTACAGGTCCTCACCGGTTTCTTTCCTACCAGTTTCCCAATACTTGCTTGCTTGTGCTGATGAATTACCAACAGGAGAAAAAGTATTTTCTAGAGAAGTCACTGAATGTTGGCTACCTGGACCTCCACCAGAATAAATACTAGGATTTGAACCTAGGTGGTGATGTTGACCATGTGGGTGATGCAAGGAAGAACGTTCTTCTCTCAATGGTCCATAACCTACAAATATTGAAAGGATAGTAATATATTCTTACATGTAAATAAAAGCCAGCTGTCACAAAAAAATGGGCCTGTCTAGGCTACACCAAACTCTGATGGAACAAATTACTAATGGTCTATTTTGTAACTACATGATATAAGACCATACCTTCAACATCTTATGAACTTACAGATATACTGTAGTTCAAGAAAAAATGAGTACACATAGTTCAGAAAGAATGAGTCATGAAGCTGAATACTAGGTATGATATTCCTCTTCTTCTTCTTCTATGGCGCAACAGACCGATGTCGGGCCTTGGCCTCCCTTACCCAGCCCCTCCATTCCTCTCTGCCCTGCACTGCTCTCTTCAGTTCCTTACACCCATTCACTTCTTCGCATCTTCTTCCGCCGCATCAATCCATCTAGTTCTTGGGTTCCCAGCACATCTCCTGCCGCCTGTTGTGCTATATAATATTTTCTTTTGGATATGCTCCTTATCCATTCTCTGTACATGCCCAGCCCATTGTAATCTTTTAAGATTTATCGTCACTGAGATCTCTGGCTCCTTATATAATTTGTATAATTCTTTATTATATCTTATTCTCCATATCCCATTCTCTTTTATTGGTCCATAAATTTGTCTTAGGACTTTCCTCTCGAATGAATTAACGACTGATTCATCTTTCTTGTTTAGCGTCCAACCCTCACATCCATAATAAAACACCGGTCTTATCATTGTTTTATATATTTTTGTTTTAATCGCCTGGTGTATATCTTTTGATCTAAAAACTGATAGTAACGAGAAATATGCATTATTTGTTAGTTTTATTCTTCTTGTTATTTCATGATTTTCCTCTCCATCTTTGTGGAATTTCGATCCTAAAAGGATGAATAATTGTCTACTGTTGACCTGCTGGGTAGAAATCCTGACTGATGTTCTCCTATTATTTTTTGTATATATGTATCCAGTCTCCTTTTTAGTATCCTTGTTAAAATTTTATATGCTGTCAGTAACAATGATATACCTCTATAGTTACTACATGTTAATTTATCCCATTTTTTAAATATGGGACATATAATGCTCTTTCCCCAATCCTTTGGTATCTTTTCTTCTTCCCACACTTTATTTATAATTATGTGGAGTGCTATTATTCCTTCTTGTCCTCCTGCCTTCAATAATTCTGCTGGTATGTTATCTCCTCCTGGTGCTTTATTTAGTTTTTGTTCCTTTAATGCTTCTTCACTTCTTCCTTTGTTGGAGACTCTATTATCTCTTCTTCTTCCCCTTCTCCATTGTCTGTATTTTCTTCTTCATTGTCCTCGTTATCTTCCATATTCTGATTTTTATTTAATAATTGTTTAAAATATTCTTTTCATGTATTCATAATCTCTGTTTTATTATTTATTAGAAGCCCTTTTTTGTCTCAGATAAATTTTGTTTTTGGTCTGAAACCTTCTTTCATATATTTGATTCGATCAAAGGCATTTTTTGTTTTGTTATTTTTGAAGTCTTCTTCCAGTTGCAGTAATTGCTCATT